CCTGTATTCCCTGGAATGCAGGCAGGAGAGATACATGATTATATACACTTGGAAAATCCTAGAGGGACTAGTATCGAACTTGCACACGAAAATCACTCACTACGAAAGCAAAAGACTCGGCAGACGATGCAACATCCCCCCAATGAAAAGCAGAGGTGTCACTAGCACGTTAAGAGACCATACAATAAGTGTCAGGGGCCCGAGACTATTCAACTGCCTCCCAGCATACATAAGGGGGATTACCAACAGACCCCTGGCAGTCTTCAAACTGGCACTAGACAAGCACCTAAAGTCGGTTCCTGACCAGCCGGGCTGTGGCTCGTACGTTGGTTTACGTGCAGCCAGCAGTAACAGCCTGGTTGATCAGGCTCTGATCCACCAGGAGGCCTGGTCACAGACCGGGCCGCGGGGGCGTTGACCCCCGGAACTCTCTCCAGGTAAACTCCAGGTATTAATTGCTCAAACTTATTACATATTACAAGTCAGATCTTACTCCTAAATCAGTACTATATCATAGTGACTATCTGCCCATTTAACTTTGTTTACCATTACTTAGTTTAGTCCCTTGTATATTTTCACATTTATTTTAGCTTTAATTAACTATTTTAGTTCATATATTCACAATTGTTAAAATAATCAAGGTGTTATTCTCAGGTGCTAAAGTGTAATACGTTCATTTTTTTAATATTATATTCCATTGCTCCCTTATTTGATTACCACTGTATTTGTTCACCACTGCTTATTTTAGTCCCTTTTATATTGTCTCCTTTATTTTAGCTTTAAAGAACTAACTTAGTTCATATTTTTACATTTGTTAAAATAATTCAGGTGCTATTTTTTAGCTTTAGAATATTTACTTTGTCTTATACTTTAGTCTAATTATAGATCCACTGTAAATCTTATGATTACAAGCATTGATCCTGATACCAACCTCTTACTGAATGACTTAAATGAATCAAACAGCAACTGTAATTACTACACAGCAGAACAGTCAACAATAAATTAACTGTCTTTAACTACAATGTCAGATCTTTAAGCAAACATTACGATGACCTTACAGCATTACTAAATTCCCTGCATGCCAGTATATCCATCATTACTCTCACCGAAACCTGGCTAAAGCCTGATACTACAGACATCTATGCCATTCCTGGTTACACAGCCATACACAACTGTAGGTCAGATCAACGAGGAGGCGGCACAGCAATATACTACTCAGACCAACTAGAATGTATCACTAATACTTGCACAAGGGATGAACATGGGGAATATATAATAGCTAAATTCAAATCTAAATACCTACGAAAACCTCTCACAGTGATAATCTACAGAGTACCACAGTCAAACATTAGCCGTTTTAGTGAAAACCTAGGAAGTATGATAACTGATGCACACATGAATAAATATCACTTACTACTCTCAGGTGACTTCAATATAAATCTCCTACAAGACCAGGACCCACACGTTACTGAATTCACAAACACTATGAGTAACTGCATGTTGTTACCAACAGTAACAAAACCTACAAGAGTTACAGAGACTAGTGTTTCCCTATTAGACAACATACATAGAACACTTTACTCGGATATAAACCTTTCCCTCAAACTTCTCCTTACCAACCTCAACAGAACACATGACCACAACACAAGGCACAGATCTCTTTGATGTTCCTCGTGTCCATCTCACACTATGTAAAAACTCAATGCACATAAAAGGCCCAAAAATCTGGAATTCATTACCTGTGAATATAAAAGAAACACTCTCTGTTTATCAATTCAAGACTCTTCTTAAAAACCACTTACTCACCCACAACTAAATAAATACTGATTAACTGTGACCCTATCAAACTATGTTTTTTTTTGTAATTGCTGACCTAGAAAATGTACAGAGAACCTTCACCTCAATTACTGGGAGCGCTCGAGTTTCCTGAACCTGTACTCCCTGGAACGCAGGTGGGAGAGATACATGATTATATACACCTGGAAAATCCTAGAGGGGCTAGTACCGAACTTGCACACGAAAATCACTCACAACGAAAGCAAAAGACTCGGCAGACGATGCAACATCCCCCCAATGAAAAGCAGGGGTGTCACTAGCACGTTAAGAGACAATACAATAAGTGTCAGGGGCCCGAGACTGTTCAACTGCCTCCCGGCATACATAAGGGGGATTACCAATAGACCCCTGGCAGTCTTCAAGCAGGGACTGGACAAGCACCTAAAGTCGGTACCTGACCAGCCGGACTGTGGCTCGTACGTTGGATTGCGTGCAGCCAGCAGTAACAGCCTGGTTGATCAAGCTCTGATCCACCAGGAGGCCTGGTCACAGACCTAGCCGAGGGGGCGTTGACCCCCGGAACTCTCCAGGTAAACTCCAGGTTACCTAATAGAATACTTCATTCACTTGAATGCTCAGAAACTCATCAAATATACTACAAATTTGTACAACTATGAAGCCTTTTATTTGAAATACTCATTTGTACTTCATGTTGTAATTTGTTTACTGTATTTTTACCATTGAATATATCATTGCTTAGTTAATCTTAAGTTAATTTTAAGCCTGCCCATAATGCTCTGCATACAAGGGGCTCTTGGCATGTATGCTTAACCATTGCATTTATTTGTACATATATGTATCATGTACAAATTAAAATAAAGAACGTAAATGAAGAAGAAGAAGAAGAAGAAGAAGAAGAAGAAGAAGAAGAAGAAGAAGAAGAAGAAGAAGAAGAAGAAGAAGAAGAAGAAGAAGAAGAAGAAGAAGAAGAAGTGGCTTTGGCATGCTGTTCTTACCTGTATTTTTTTGTACCTCTGTATGTATGTTTAAATTATTAAATAAATAAATAAATAAATAAAGAAGAAGAAGAAGAAGAACTGTGGTAGCTCTTAATAACCCCGGGAGTAGGGAGTTGGGCTCAATACGGCTTACACCTTGGTGGCTCTTAATGCCCAACCACACCAATCTCGGTGTTGGTGGAGTACAAACATGTTGCTCACAGACTAAGAGGCCTGGGAGCCACCTAATCTAAGTTGGAAATTTAACCTTACCATTTCTCTTTCCGGAAATTCTTTCTCATTCTCACCTTTAAGGACTTTTTCCCTGGACTCTGAGATGTAGGGTTCAATAAAGCGTTATCAGTGTTGGCCCTTAATAACCCACCAAAACAAAATAATTGCACTTAATTCACCAACGAGAATGGAAAGATCCCACTTGGCTCCCTGGCCCCGCCATGAAGGGTGCATTGACCTGGACTGGGCACATAGGAACAGGGATTTCCCACCTGACGGCACTGATTGTTGAGTTGTTTTTACTTACGATTATCTTCCATCTACAAGGATGGCTGGGTCCAGCATGACACATGCTTCCCTGTACTATATCCCAGTCCTTCTATTTTCTGATCTTGCTGTGTTAATTCTGGTGGCTAGACCGTCTTACTGGGTGTGGTAAAAGACACTTATGTGCACTTCAATACATTACTACTATCCTCTCGCCTCTTACCACCTGACTTTACCACTATATATACTCGTTCTTGGTTATCTCTGTGGAAGGGCTAAAGCCACTCGTGCAAAATGTTTCCTATATTCAATGTCCTGAACTGTACATAAATGTGTATTTGTCCACATCTTGCCAGTATCACCGTAGCATTTTTTTTACTAGGTCCTGGGAGGGCAGCTGAGGGCCATTAATAAGGCTTTGCTTTTCACCCTCTCTCACCATCCACCTCGTCCTGTGGTTCTCTTCCTTGACTCAGTCCTCCCAGACTTTCCTGGTCTCTGTCTCCTCTGGCCTCTGTCTCCTCTGGTCTGTCTCCTCTGATCTGTCTCGTCTAGTCTCTGTCTCCTCTGGTCTGTCTCGCCTGGCATCTGTCTCCTCTGGTCTCTGTCTCCTCTGGTCTCTGTCTTCTCTGGCCTGTCTCCTCTGGTCTGTCTCGTCTAGTCTCTGTCTCCTCTGGTCTGTCTTGTCTGGCATCTGTCTCCTCTGGCCTCTGTCTCCTCTGGTCTGTCTCCTCCGGTCTGTCTCGTCTGGCATCTGTCTCCTCTGGTCTCTGTCTCCTATACTCCTACTCACTGATGAACGGTTTGATCCTATTGATCCTATTGATGTGCCTCAAGGCACATCAGCAATATTTAAAGTGCATCTCCTCAAGTCAGGTTATGTCCAGTTTGGACGAGGTTTCTTAAGACCTAAGGTGCCCGGAGGCAGGGCTCAACAGAGCATAAGCTGTCATTGGCTATATAAACCCCCATCAAGAAGATCCAGTGTGGGGTCTCTGGGTTCCTTGTCGTACCTTCACCATTTCCTTGATGCAATAGAATGTGATAATTTCCCCGCAGCAGTGTGAGTACCATTGTAGAAGCATTAATTATTAGGCTTTGTTAGGGTGGGTTTTAAGTTGGGTCACATTGGGTTTGTTTGGTATTACATTAGGTTTTTGTACTTTTTTATATTTTTACAAATTAGCTCATTATAAACTAAAAAAACTTTCCATAAATTTGAGTTTTTTGAGACTGGATAATTGGTCACATAAATGTTGTAGGATGATTTTTGAGACCATTTGGAAAAAGCCTCACAAATTTCAGAGGGCATTTTTTGAATACACTTGTAAAAATGAGAGCAGTTTAGGTACAGCTCCTGGATCTCATGTATTCTTCAAGGTAAAGAGAAAGTGAGCTGGAAAATCAGAAGGCCTCGATCAGTGGAAAAAAATCCACTGACTATAATTATATTAAAAACGATGTCAGCAGAAATTTTCACGCTTTTTTCTCTACATGTACTGTACCACTATGCTACTTTTTCTTAATTTGAATGTAGTTCACTGCCCTTTTTTTGTGCTGAATATCCTAAAACCTTATACATTTTTCATCATAACTCCAATTTTTTACTCTGGGAGAAATTTTGGAGCTTCTTTTGTATTTTAACATTCACAAATGTTTTACATGATGACACTAATTTCTGCCCACCATGTATTATTATATGCTAATTATGCTCTTCTGTTTCAGAAACAAAACTCTCCTACCTAGCAACAGTGCTGGGCTATTTAACTACATTAGTGTCACCTGGGTTACGGGGTTAATGTGGAAAGCTTATAAGAAAGGTCTTCATCCAAGTGATTTGTGGACCCTCCAGGTTAGTGTTCGGTGCTCATTTGTAATTTATAGCATTATATATTTTGCAGTTCACTGAATTTTTATTTTCTGATATCCTATTCAGGCATACCTTGCTAATATAGTGCTTTGCTAGTATGATGCTTTTCAGTTATAAGAACATAAGAAAGAAGGAACACTACAGCAGGCTTACTGACCCATGCGGAGCAGGTCTATGTACCCCCCTCCCGGTTTAGCCCAATGACCCACCCAGTCTGGTCACCTCCACTCAAGGAAGGAGCACGGCACCAGACCCAGCAGCACAAGCTAGTCAGGTCCAACTCACACCCACCCACACCCACTCATGTATTTATCTAACCTATTTTTAAAACTACACAACGTTTTAGCCTCAATAACTGTACTAGGGAGTTTGTTCCACTCATCCACAACTCTATTACCAAACCAGTGCTTTCCTATATCCTTCCTGAATCTGAATTTTTCCAACTTGAAACCATTGCTATGAGTCTAGTCTTGGCTGGAAATTTTCAGCACGCTATTTACATCCCCTTATTTATTCCTGTTTTCCATTATACACCTCGATCATATCCCCCCTAATTCTACACCTTTCGAGAGAGTGCAGATTCAGGGCCCTCAGTCTATCCTCATAGGGAAGATTTCTGATACATGGGATCATCTTTGTCATCCTCCTCTGTATGTTTTCAGTGCATTTATATCCATTCTGTAATACGGTGACCAGAACTGAGCATCATAGTCTAAATGAGGCCTAACCAAGGATATATAGAGTTGAAGAACAACCTGAGAACTTCTATTATTTATACTTCTAGATATGAAGCCAAGAATTGTGTTAACTTTATTGTGAACACTAATGCACTGTTGTCTTGGTTTTATTACTGCTAACCAGAACGCCTAAATCCTTTTTGCAGTCAGTAGTATTAAGATCTAAATTATTTAGTTTATATGTCACATGGTTATTTTCCTGTCCAACATTTAGAATTTTGCATTTATCTATATTAAACTGCATCTGCCACTTCTCCGACCATTGCATCAGTCTATTCAAATCATCCTGGAGTGCTCTAGTGTCCTCATTAGAATGAATTGGATGGCCTATTTTGGTGTCATCAGCAAATTTGCTTATGTCACTATTTATTCCCTCATCTATGTTGTTTATGTAAATTGTGAACAACAATGGGCCCAACACTGACCCCTGTGGAACACTGCATGTGACGTGCCCCCATTCTGATTTTTCCCCATTTATGCAAACTCTCAGCTGCCTATTTGTCAGCCATGCCTCTACCCAGGAAAAATGTCTTTTCCTATTTTGTGTGCCTTAAGTTTCCTCAATAGCATCTGATATGGAACTCTATTGAAAGCCTTGCTGAAGTCCATATACACAATATCATATTCATTACCATGATCTACCTCCTCAAACACCTTAGTGAAAAAAGGTTAGTAAATTCATAAGACAGGAACACCCCTTTGTAAAACCGTGATGAGATTCATTAATCAATCTGTGCCTATCAAGATGGTTACAAATTGCTTTGGCAATTATTGATTCCATAAATTTTCCCACTCTGGTGGTAAGGCTTATTGGTCTATAGTTCAAAGCCAAGGACCTGTCACCTGCCTTGTAAATAGATATTACATTTGCCATTTTCCACTTATCAGGCACTATGCCAGTTTGTAATTATATGTTAAAAAGATTAGCCAAAGGTATGCTAAGTTCCTCTTTACATTCCTTTAACACCCTTGCAAACAGTTCATCAGGGCCTGGAGATTTGTTAGGTTTTAGTTTCTCTATTTGTCTGAGGACCATGTCACTAGTTACTGCAATCGTGCATAGTTTATTATCGTCCTGTTCTACATAATCTATTATTTCAGGAATATCGCTAGTATTTTCCTGGGTGAAAACTAAGAGGAAGTAGGTATTGAGAATTTCACACATGTCCTTATCACTGTCAGTGATCTGACCAGAGTTACTCTTAAGTGGGTCTATCTTGTCCCTAATCTTACTTCTGTATACCTGAAAGAACCCTTTTGGGCTAGTCTTTGAATCCCTTGCGACCTTAGCCTCATAATCCCTTTTTGCTTTTCTTATTCCTTTCTTTATTTCTCTCCCTAATTGAATATATTGATTTCTTAACTGTCCATCCCCTCTTTTGATACACTATATATGCCTCTCTTTTGACCAATGAGATGTTTTAATCTATTGTTCATCCATTTGGGATCATTTTTGTTAGATCTTATTTCCCTACTCGGAACAAAAATTGTCTGGGCAGCTAGAAATATACTCTGAAAAATGTCATATTGGCAACCAAGATCACCTACCTGACCCATAGTCAGGACATCCCAATTTAGCCCACCCAGGTAATTTTTCAGTCCCATGAAGTCGGCCAAGCGAAAATCTGGGACAGAGATTTGATTCCAGTTATCTGGGTAATTCCATGATATATTGAAACTAAGTGATTTGTGATCACTTTCCCCAAGCTCATCATTAACCTCAAGATTATTAATTAGTGACTCTTTGTTGGCAAGAACCAAGTCAAGCAGATTGTTTCCTCTAGTTGGTTCTGTCACAACCTGTTCTAAAAAGCAATCCTGAACTGTATCAAGAAAGTCACTAGACTCAAGATTTCCTGTCATATTGTCCCAATCAATTTGTCTAAAGTTAAAATCTCCCATTGTCATAACATTTTCATATCCAGATGCCTTATGAATTTCGTCCCATAACAGCTTACTGCACTCCCTATCAAGGTTTGGGGGGCCTATAAATCACACCCAAAATTAATTTGTCATGACTCTCGAGAAACTGTAGCCAAACAGATTCGTGTTCGATGTTTCTAATCTTATATCATGTCTAAGACAACAATTTAAATTTTCTCTGACATACATCGCCACTCCACCACCCATTCTGTTGACCCTATCTGTGTGGAATAGTTTATAACCCTGTATGTTGCATTCAGAAGGCATTTCTCTATCTTTCAGGTTGAACCAGGTCTCTCTTATACCAATAATATCTATATTATGTACACTTGCAAGTAATCTTAGCTCATCTATCTTATTTCTTAGACTCCTACTATTTGTATAGTAAACCTTAAGGGAGCTAGTCACTCGTTGCCCTCTACTATCTCTTTGTTTGTTGATCAATTGATTTGCCAATACAGTGGACCCCCGGTTAACGAACTTTTTTCATTCCAGTAGTATGTTCAGGTGCCAGTACTGACCGAATTTTTTCCCATAAGGAATATTGTGAAGTAGATTAGTCCATTTCAGACCCCCAAACATACACGTACAAATGCACTTACATAAATACACTACATATCCATCTATAATCTAAGCGCCACGTACTACAATTCTAGAAATTGTCATATTTAAACTTCCCTAGTATCGTATAACTGCTGTATTAACCCTCATACGCCGATGTTCCACAAACACCCATACCCTTATACTGTCAGTTTAACTAGACAAGTCACATACCCTCTCAATCGAACTGAGCTAATTCTAACCGACATCCATCCCCTGAGGGATGAACCCCATCCCTTGCTACATATCACTGTTTGCCAAGAATAGGTGCCAGTTACAATGAATGGACTGTGTTCCTGCATACCTGTCTAGCCAGCATTTATACCAATTGCCCTGACATCATACATTGCCATTCTTTCTCAGTGCACGATGGGCTACCTGCTCATCTCCTGACTATAAGACCTGCCTTCCCAATGTCATTACCCCCATCACTAAGACAGATAATGGACTTGTTCCCATTACCTGACATAATATTATCCAACCTGCTGATTATGTCACCAACACCAGCTCCAGGAAGGCACACCCTCTGTCTGACCTTTCTGTCTCTGTTACAAAATGCACAGTCCATATATCTTACCTGAGAATCTCCTACTATTAAAATATTCTTACCTTGATTAGCAGGGGAATCAGTGGTACCTTCAACCTCACTAACCATTGAAGTGCACTCGTCCTGGAGAACAGAGAATCGATTTCCTACCTTCACATCTTCTCTGTTAACCCTCCTTATCTTCCTTTTTCCTGAACTGTGAACCACTTGCCACTTAATTAAAGCAGGCTGCCACTATCACTGCTAGTGACCATTTCTTCCTTACCAGCTAAATCCTTCTCACACTCACTCCCAAACTCATCTCGGCGAAGTTTCAACCTCCTATTTTCCTCCTGAAGAAGTAGAACCTCCTCCTTCAACACCTGAATCTGAGATTCTAAAACACTACAACAAGCCATGGTGCTTGGTAACACCCCATGCCAACTCCCAGAGAGCTTAGGACAGGTATAACCACAGGTGACCACTGACCTCAGCGTTTATTATTTTCAGTGGTGATGCACTCATCAGCTGACTCTGAGCTGAATCGAGCATTTTTTATTTATTTATTATGTCCACTTTTGTGCTATTGCACACAAAATAAATGATAGGGTAAACATGTTTTTAGGCTTTTAAATGCACTAGCAAGTGAAAAAATGGCTGTCATTTGATTTATGGTGGTGGTGGCAGTCTGGAACCTACCCTGCCGTATTAGCAAGGTATGCCTGTACAGTGGACCCCCGACTTATGATCAGTTCCCAACTCGAACAATTATGTGAGTGTATTTTTGTAAGTGCTTTTGTAAGTGTATTTTTGGGGGTCTGAAATGGACTAATCTAATTTACAATATTTCTTATGGGAGCAAATTTGTTCGGTAACCGCACCTGAACAGACTTCTGGAATGAATTAATACTGTAAGTCGGGGGTCCACTGTACTGTATTAATAAGCTGTGTGTAGTATAGTCACTAAACTGTACAAATGCAAATTTTATTTCTTTATGTGGTACAAAAATATGTAGTGTAGTTTACCTGTAATAAAACAATGGTACTCACAAAAGAAGGCCACTGGTATGCAATGCATTTCTATACAATTCATTTCTACAGTTTGGAGAGGAAACTTTCAAGTGTTGTGGTTCATCCTGGATCATTATCAAGTTGTAATAATGATTGTGGTCCAGGATGGACCTGTGTATTGTCCAAAGAGTTTTATCTTAATTGTGGGTTGTAAGTTACGTATACTATGTAATTTATTTCATTTGAAAAACTTAATGATTTTAGAGTGTTGTTACAGTTTGTATAAGGATCGTGTATTAAACATGTAAATTTATTGGTCTGTTTTTATTTTTTATATATTCATACCAGCACGAAGATGGCTCAGAGGTAAATTCTGAGCGACTTGAAAGACTGTGGGTTGACGAAATCTATAATGCAGAAAAAGCCAAGAGAAAACCTGAGTTTTGGCGTGCTGTATGGAGATCTATGCGAACTAGAGTCATTGTTAGCATGATAATCTCTCTCACACAGAATGTTCTCCAGTTCCTTGGACCGGTAATTTATTTTTGTGTTTCTATTGTTCAATTAAATTTAGTAACTACTATATCAGATCAGTGTCTGTTTCTTAATTTGTATACAGGAAAATATAAATTGTTAAAATTTATATTTTGGAGGTCTTTTGTTTTGCATTACCACAGATTTTTGTGTCGAAAATTTGTATACTAATTGATTTTATATTCTAAGAATGAAAACAACAAATTTTATGGAAAAATTGCATTTATATTGCACTAATTTACATGGGGCACAAGGCCTGGTCTCAGACTGGGTCACGGGGGCATTGACCCCCAAAGCCCTCTCCAGGTATGGGGCATAACTGCTATCTAAATTTTGTAAGGGATTTAAAAAAATGCACTTGATATTCTTTTTTCAGATTTACTGTATATGATAATATTTTAAGAAATCAAGCCTCTTCTTCATGCCTTTTTCTTCATGTGTGCTGGCAGAACTGCAAATCAGTCATTTAATGATGACTACCACACCATTGCCATGCAAACTATTGCACATATAAATGCAGTTTATTTCAAATGCTGCACAAATTTCTCTTGGAACATGTTATTTTTTTTGCAAGAATATGAATCTCTTATTTTGTACACGTATACAAATTTTCATTTTGAAAACTCTTGGTTTGAAAACTGTAAAGATCCATATTTTCTATGACAGTATATACATGTTTTTTATAAGTAAAAAAATCATGGTGCTCATTCAGATTTTATTAATTGCCTTTATTACTTATATACTTATCTGAATTTAAATATATTGTCACCATAAAAATAGTACTCGTATTATTATTATTATTATTATTATTATTATTATTATTATTATTATTATTATTATTATTATTGTTGTTATTCATGGAGAAATGCTAAACTACTGATGTACTGTAGTTTGCTTGGACCATTTTTATAATGGAATTTTCTTTTTTTTCAGTCAATAATGCTCAAGACAGTTTTAGACTACATAAATGAGCCCGAGGTGGACCATCAGTATGCATCGTTAATTGTCCTTGCAATTGGTGTTATTAACCTTTGCAGAGGCTCTGCATTTAATGCCATGTTTGTGGTAGGCACTCACACAGGTGGGTTTAGTTTAAATTTTTTTTAACTGTCCTTTTCTTTTGTATATCAGCAGTAAGATAGGCTAGCAAGTATGCAGTTTATTGCATTTATTGAGAGGGTGTTTATGTGGTTTATTGCATTTCCTGAAAAGGAATTTTATTCCCAGGGACTTTTTTGAAAGTCCCAGTAGATGAAACACATAACCCATACAGGAATTGGCAAATTACTTAATTATAATGATAAAATATCAGAAATCTTGAGGCCGTATCAACATTTTGCACTGGCTGTATGAATGAGCTTTGCATTCAATGAGATTCTAACTTCGGAAGTGATCAGAGTTCAGCCGAGGAGAAATAATAAGATTGTTTACACATTGCTTTGAGTAGATGATTAGCTCTTGTGATGAGACTCTGATACTGTACATGAAATGAGTGTAATATCTTAAAGTTGTAAGTATCGTTTTTTTTTTCCGGAAAATAAGGTGCGCCTTTTTTCCCACAAAAAGTCTTGGAAACTCAGCCCTTGCCTTATATGCTCAAGGCCAGGGTCAAGGGTAGACTTTGGGTTATGCTTTAGTTTAAAGTAAGAGGGTAATTAACCCTTGAATATGTTTACTGATTTACCGTTATGATTGTATGTTCACCTTATGTGCCGGAAAATATGGTAACTTGCCTAATGGGGTCTGACAAATACCATTGTGTTACCATTTTTTTTTTTTTTTCACTGCTGAAAGGATGCACAATAAATGTCCTCTCTGTTGGCTCTAAGTAAATATGTATCTTGTTATTCAATGTGACAACCAATCCAAATCGAAGTCAGTATATTACTGTGTTAGACAGTCAGATGTGTGACTGTGACACTGGAATAAAGCAGTGATTGTGCATGTGTAGTGTACTGTCCACTAGGTGGCTCTGTTCTCTGTTCACACCCCAATAGCCATTATCACTTTTATGTATTATTGCATTTATTGAAGATATGTTAATTTATAATTGGTTAATTTTTGCTGGTGAATGATAATCTTACTTAATTAGACCTAATCTAAATCAAGTGAATAACATAAAGTGAGAAATTTGCTGAAAACAACATGTAAGAAATTGACTTCAGATTTAGAGTAGGTTGATCCTGAACACACATTACAGATAAGATTTAATGAACCATTGCTTCTACATTCTTGTATAAACATTAGATTTGTACCTATTATTATTATTAGTAGTAGTAATGAGCAGTATTATGCTTCAAATAAACACGTGTTTTGTTTGACTCACAGAGGTAAACACAGTATCCCTGTCACACTTGACGGTTAATTTGGTGGATGCTCACCATCTGACATCATGTGCAAACTCTATAGATATTCCAAAAAAAAGTGTAGGTGAGGCTTTACCAAACTGTTAAAAAATATTCTGAAAGTACTTTTAAGTATAATTTTGCTACAGTATTACTGTACCATACCTTTTTTTTTACAAGTGGATTTTTTTTTTTTCAGATATACAGTATTGCTAATTCTTCTATTGCATCATTGGATGATGTCTATTATAACTTGAAGGAAAATTTAATCCTTCAGAGTGTATATAAAGTATTTCTTTTTTTTCAGCAACAAGAGTAACTGGAGCTGTTCAAGCTATGATGTACAAGAAAGTTCTCAAACTGAAAACAGGAGGGGAACGACTCTCAGCACAGATTGTTAACTTTAGCAACAATGATATGGAACGACTCTTTGAGGCCTGCATTTCTTGTGTATTCATCACTGGTATGTTTATTAGTATTTAGCTGAAACTTATTTATAAGCCTGATGTACTGTATTAATTTTACTTTTCTGTATTTACAGCAATCTCTCGACTAGTGACAGTTTTGCTTAATAACAATTTGCTTAATAACAATGGACACAGTACATAGGAGACTGTTTAACTTACAAAGACTCGGTACTCAGCTCAACAAATTTTTGTTATTACATTTATGGTTGGAAAGCTAAACCCATAGGGAACATATAGCACATGTGGGAATGGGAAGCAGTCAGGATTGATATAAGGAAAGGGAAGAAAGGATCAGTTCCTTGAATAAAAAACCCCCATGGGCATTGAGGCACCTCTGTTGAAAGGCTAGCATGTTTTTTTTTTTTTGGCCCCTCACTGTAAACTAAGAAGAAAGGAGGGAAGAGAGTGAAATCAGGCCACATGAAGAATATAAACTGTGATCAGATATTTAGTATTAGAGAGAGGGACCTAAGAGTTATTATTAAAAACTGTCACTAGAAAATATCAACGAAATTGTGAGAAACTTGTGCTCTGCTCTGGTGAATTATACATAAATAGCTTTTAAATTTATGGATAGAGAAATGCTAAAAAAAAAAAGTTATTTACAATATATGTATTGGAATATGCAGTGTAGGTGTGGTGCCCTCGCCTAAAATAAAGACACGTGGATAAGTTAGAAATGGCTCAAAGAAGAGCTACAAAATGGTTATCAGAGTTTAAAATTATTAGTTGTGATACAAGGCTAGGCATAAAAAAAACAGATATAAAAGTAAAATAAATACACAGTTCATACAATACACACCTTTAACCCTTTGAGGGTTTTCGTCGTACTAGTACGTCTTACGCGTAGGGGTTTTTGACGTACTAGTACTCATAAATTCTAGCGGCCTCAAATCTAGTGGGAGAAAGCTGGTAGGCCTTCATATGAAAGAATGGGTCTATGTGGTCAGTGTGCACAGTCTAAAAGAAATCCTGCAGCACACAGTGCATAATGAGAAAAAAAAAACTTTGACCATTTTTTTTAATAAATCAGCGACTTTGCAGTGTATTTTCGTATGGTATTTATTGTTGTATTCTAGTTTTCTTGGTCTCCTTTTATAGAATGGAAAACATATTACTGAAATTGAGATGATTTTGACTGGTTTTACAATGAAAGGTGCCTTGAAATTGAGCTCAAAGTAGCAGAAATGTTCGATTTTTACCAAACTTCAAAAGTAAACAAATCGTGCCAAGCGTGCAATACACGTCAACTGGTGAGTCTAATATTCTTTCACAAGTGCACCAATAATATTTATACCATTTTTTACACTAATGCAGTAGTCTGCATAACAGTAAATCTTATATTTTTTGTGAGAATAAAAATTCAAAGTGGAAAGCAAAAGAATATAAGAGGGGCCTTGAGACGTGACTAATGACTAGAGGAAATGTCATTTTAGTGCCAGGAATGTCTTTCTTGTTTATTCTGGACCCTATTCGGAAATTGGCATCTTTTGAAATTTGTGTGAAATTGGCAAAATTGCTAAATTCTGACCACTGTACTGGATAGTTGAATTTATAAATGGGTGGTTTCTTGCACCCATTCGATAGAAAAAATGGAGTTCTAGCGAAATATTCATGTTTTTTGTCGACTAGTACAGTGAAATTGGCCGAAAATGGGGCTCAAAGTGGGCAAAATCGCCGATGCGTAAACATCGCCGAGACCGCTAACTTTGCGAGAGCATAATTCCGTAAGTTTTCTATCAAATTTCAAACTTTTGGTTTCTTTATGATCGGGAAAAGATTCTCTATCTTTTCATAAGAGAAAATAATTTTTTTTTTTTTTTAAATTTGGCCGACCCTGAGAACGAGTTTCGGAGAGGGCCTGTCGACCCTCAAAGGGTTAAATATGGTTCCAGTCATTCTTTCCTTATGTAACTGTTGTGTGAAAATAGCAGAAAACTGGAAAAAGCACTGAACATAATGAACAATGGCTCAGTTGAAAGCCAATAAAAATGTGGAACACTGAAAAGAGGGTGCTGAGTACACAAGGCCCTCCTGTTCAATAAGGTCATGAAAAGACATGAAAGATTAAATAAAGGGGATTATTTGGTACCTGTAACAGGGATATCAAGAGGCCACAGTTGTAAATTGAGGAAAAAGTGGAGCCAAAAGAAAATTTTTCTTTATAAATTGAGTAGTAGATCAATGAAATGAATAAAAAAAAAAGGAGTTAGTAATGTTACAAACACTGGAAATTTTAATAACTTTTATGAAGAACATATTGTTGAAATTGGGATACCATGAGCATAGCTGTGCTCCTGTTGCTACAAATAGGTATTACAAAAAGATAACTACTGATTTTTAGTTCATGTTATTTGTGGGTATCATTAGGTCGGTGGTAAGGTATCAACAAGTTGATGAATAAGACACGTACATCACCTTCGTATCTGTTGAGAGAAGTTTTTGCATAGAGGGTTTTAACAATGTAATAGAGAGGAATGAGAATGGAGACTTGTATACTGGAGCTGGAAGAGAGGTGTAGCAATTGAAGACCTCATCACTTGTGGGTGGGGCCCACTAGTGGATGTAAATCAGGCCAGTAAAGTGGGCCACATATTTGGTAATGGAGTTGAAGGAAATATTCTCTGTAGACTAACCTTTTTCTGTGGTGTTGCTGTATTTGACAGGTATCATTAGAAAAGTGGTATAGTATCAAGAAGTTAATACATAAGACACACATGTATCTGGGTATCTTTATTAAAGAAAGGTTTTGCCATTATAGGTGTGGGTAAACCTGTATGTACTTTCTAAGTAAAAGGCTCACACCTAGACTGTATTTATTGAATATATTTGTTGAATTTATGAAGTTTTTATTTTTTATACAATGTTCTACAGAAATTTAATTTACTGTACCGTATTTTCAGGTGTTTGATCAATTATGTCATCTGTTGTAGACTAAATGGTAATTTTTTTTCACCATTTTTTGTTTCAGTCCAAAGAATTATTTTGGTATTTATGCATTGTTAAGTGTAAAATCGTCATATAAATGGGTGTAAATGATGCTCTGTTGATTATTTCTATTTTTTGTTTATTTCAGCAATGCCTGTGATATTTACGATGAGCGTAGCATACTGTGTGTACATTCTGGGTCCCTGGTCTCTCTTAGGGCAAGGGATATATATTCTCTTCTACCCAATCATGGTAAGTAAACTGAGATGTAAATAAACTGAGATATATTTTCATTTGTCTCATATTTCTGGAGAATTCTAAATTGAAGTCTGATAAATTAAGGGTCTACTGTTGTACTTTGCTTAATTCAAATTTAATTAGTGCCAAAGAAAAGCATACTGATACCTAGTTAATTATCTTTTAAACATCTTGCATTATTTCTTTACAGGGAGCCATTGCCAAAGCCCAGAGTAGTATTCGTGTGGAAACTGTGAAGGTTACAGACAAGAGGGTGACTCTTATGAGCGAGATCCTCAATAGTATGCGACTTATCAAGATGTACTCCTGGGAAGATTCCTTTGCCAAAAAAATATCAGGTTTGTTTTTGATACCAAGTATCATTTCTGACTGTAAAAATCTTTACAATCACGTTTTAATATTTGTGAATTCACAGAAATTGTGCCACCACTTAATTGCATGGTGGTGGTCTAAAATGCAGACTTAAAAGTCAGTGTTTCCCTTCAATAAACTCATTTCTTGCCCACCTACAATGCAGAAACACAAGAGGAGGTGCTTTAATGAGACAGTAACACACTTAGTGTAGTTATGTATTTTTTTATTAGCACATAAGGCATTTCCCATCATTGTCTTGCCAGAAGCATGCCTACACTACAGTTAAAAACTGCAGCATGTGAGCAACCCTCCTTCAGAACACAAGCACTGTACCTCCCACCTACAGGACTTAAGTCTGGCTAAATCTGTCGAACCAAGTACAGTGCTTGGGTATAAAATACATTTGGATAAGTTCTTTAGACTGTAAGAGCCATTTGCCACAGGTTTTCTGCATTTGACATGGCTGCTAAATATTGTTTTAACTATTAGGTAAATTTATGAATTTTCTTATTTTTTATTACACTTCTTTAAGTACGGTCATCATTATTCTCATACATTACATTTTTTTTCATATTCAAATTGAATCTGACAGTGAGAATAGGCACATATACCCATGGAAGAGGACTTGATGCTAGAATTTATAGATAGTGAAATGTCAGACAAAAAGAAATGGACAGTGACAAATATTAAGAAAGTGACCAATGATTAGGACATTGTGGAAAAAGACACTTATGTACAGTTCAGGACATTTATTAAAGGAAACGTTTCGCCACGAGTGGCTTCTTCAGTCCTAATACAGAGAAAACTAAGAAAACACACATATATATAGTGGCGGGAGTCAGGTGAGGTGATGCGTGGGTAGAGGTGGTAGTAGTAGTAGTAGTAGTAGTAGTAGTAGTAGTAGTAGTAATGGAACTAAGGAGGTGAGGCTAGAGAGGGACCTGCTGGCATCAAGTAACACCAGTTCCCAGGATGGGTAATATCCTCTTGCTTAGTAATTTTGAAATACTGTAACTACCGGATTTTTGCTTTATAGTGTTACTGACAGAAATTAGTGCAGCTTCAATGCATTTCTGCACTAATTTCTGTCAGTAACACTATAAAGCAAAAATCCGGTAGTTACAGTATTTCAAAATTACTAAGCAAGAGGATATTACCCATCCTGGGAACTGGTGTTACTTGATGCCAGCAGGTCCCTCTCTAGCCTCACCTCCTTAGTTCCATTACTACTACTACTACTACTACTACTACTACTACCACCTCTACCCACGCATCACCTCACCTGACTCCCGCCACTATATATATGTGTGTTTTCTTAGTTTTCTCTGTATTAGGACTGAAGAAGCCACTCGTGGCGAAACGTTTCCTTTAATAAATGTCCTGAACTGTACATAAGTGTCTTTTTCCACATCTTGTCGGTATCACCATACCATTTCCTGATTAGGACATTGTGTGTTTCTCTTGGATAAATGTATTATGATGCCTGCTTTACCACGACCTCCTCTTACAAAATAAAATTGATGTTGGCAACTCCAGCATTAATTTTTTATTGATGGAATTATTTGTCTAAATAATGGGATTATTTGTGTCTAAAGAATGTGCAATTAGTAGAACTGAAGCACAGTAATTTTTTTATTCTTTGCACAGTACAGTAATATACAGGGAGGTGTGTTTTGCTTACATGTTAAATTTAGTATGTGATTTTTGCTTATATTTTCACATTTTCCTCAGGAATTAGAAAAGAAGAGCTTAAGAAACATCGTATTGGTGCCTTACTTCAAGCTGTCAGCTCCACAGTAACTCCAAGCATCAGTATTCTAGCAACCATTATCACTTTCTTGGGATATACTCTCTCAGGTAATAAAAGACAATAATTAAAAAATGCTTTATTGCATGGCTATTCATTTTAATATCCTGAACAGCTGTCAGTAGAAACAGAGGTTGAAGGACCAGTTACCTCAAGCTCTTTCTCATCTTCCACCATTTATTCTGTACAGACTGAGGAAGCCACTTGTTGGCAAAACATTTCTATAATAAAAATTCCCAAATGTTGCAAAAGTGTCTAATTCTTTAAACAATTGTTTGCCTAAATAAGGAAATAAAATCTGTAAGTGATGGCAATACTATTTTTGCTTCAGGGTTAACCATTTCAGAAGCTTCATTGCATTTCATTGTTTGATAGATTATTTTAATTTCATTCCCTGTTGTAAAATACAGTACAGACCAGTCGAGGCCTGGTCACAGACCTGGCTGCTGGGGCGTTGACCCCAAAACCTTCTCTAGGTATACAGTAATAGCATTTAAAAAAGAATTGGCCATTAACTATATCATGGTATTAAATGAGCAGCTGAGTCTATTACAGTTTGAATATTATTGTTAAAGAGTTTTGTTAAACTTAAATATTTATTATTTTTTTATTACACACTGGCCGATTCCCACCAAGGCAGGGTGGCCCGAAAAAGAAAAACTTTCACCATCATTCACTCCATCACTGTCTTGCCAGAAGGGTGCTTTACACTACAGTTTTTAAACTGCAACATTAACACCCCTCCTTCAGAGTGCAGGCACTGTACTTCTCATCTCCAGGACTCAAGTCCGGCCTGCCGGTTTCCCTGAATCCCTTCATAAATGTTATTTTACTCACACTCCAACAGCATGTCAAGTATTAAAAACCATTTGTCTCCATTCACTCCTATGAAACACGCTCACACATGCCTGCTGGAAGTCCAAGCCCCTCGCACACAAAACCTCCTTTACCCCCTCCCTCCAACCTTTCCTAGGCCAACCCCTACCCCGCCTTCCTTCCATTACAGACTGATACATTCTTGAAGTCATTCTGTTTCGCTCCATTCTCTCTACATGTCCGAACCACCTCAACAACCCTTCCTCAGTCCTCTGGACAACAGTTTTGGTAATCCCGCACCTCCTAACTTCCAAACTATGAATTCTCTGCATTATATTCACACCACTTAAATATTTATAATTGATTATTTTATTTCTAGGTTACCCACTTAAGTCCTCTGAGGCCTTCACCATATTTTCTGTCTTCAATGCTATGCAGTTCACAGTAGGCGTTCTTCCATTTACTGTTCGCTCAATTGCCGAAGCTAAGGTTTCGCTCAACAGAATTCAGGTAAGATTACTTGTATTTATGTAATGAGATTAATCTGAGATGATCCCCAATAGGTGTATTTTATCCAGACACAGACTATATGTGCACTGTGATCAGCTCTCAGCAATTTTCATGACTGATTACATGCAGTCATCCAAAATACCCAGAACTTACCACATGAAGGTGGCTGCTCTTTGAGTTCTACTGCTAGTTACTAGTTGAATGATCATATTTTATCTGACTGAGCTGAAAAAAGGGATGAGATTGACAGATTATCCCCTATGGTACAATCCTTACTCTCATTTTATGAATTATGTCATTATATGCTCACCATTCCTCTCCATGGGGAAGCGGAAAAGAATTCTTTCTCTAAGCCATGTGTGTCGTAAGTGGCGACTAAAATGCCAAGAGCAAGGGGCTAGTAAGCCCTCTGTGTAAACTGCCAAATATAAAAAGAAAAACTTTCGTTTTTCTTTTTAGGTCACCCTTGCCTCGGTAGGATATGGCCAGTTCGTTGGAAAAAAAAAATACTCGCTATTCACACTCTACCTTGTGTAATGTGTGAATCTGTTTTTTAGACCACCTGGAGCAACTTGAAGCTGGAGAAATTCAAAATCCCTCTTCAGAAGTTGTTAAATCTATTGAAAGGCCACATATTGTGCCTCCACATAAAGTACCTGGCCAATCAGAGATCAGAGCCACAATGAAGGGGAAATTTAATAATAAAAAAAAAGAGAGGACCAGAGTTAATGACAACTTCGCAAAGTAATGTAGTCTATTCATTCCTGGGATATGAATTAAGTTTAGCTTCATATATTTTTCAGTACAGTACAGTACAGTAAAGTACTGTAGTGTATGTGGATTTTTTTTGCATATAGTATGTTGGAAATATGGGACAATATATGCTGGGTAATTTGATTTAAAAATAATGAACAAAAGCCAATGGTTACAAAATTGTCCATTATAATTATTGTTACAGTCAGGGTAAAAGAGACCCATTTTTATGCATTACAATTACCACTGTTTCCCACCATATTAGTGTATTAAATTAAAGGTTCATTGCTATTGATATATATACAGTACAATATTAATAAATCATATAGGCATTTTATTTGTGTTTGTATTGAAAGATAGACCATGCACTTTGCATTTTATTGTAAAACGAACTTTTAGTTACAAGTCATTAGGGACATAAATTTAGAAGCCAGTTAGCTTGGAAGGGTATGTTTAGTTGAAGAGCAGTGGTGTAAGAACCCATAGCTTAATAGTGATTGTAAGTTGTCATACTGGAATGTTTGTATTAATTTCAAGGATATAAATAAATAAATTTATAAAAATAATTCCCAAATTCAATTTTGCAGAAACTTCTGGAGCTGCCAGAGCATCAGAAGAGTATGGGAGGGCTTTTAAATAACAATTTAGCACTGCAGATAAAAAATGCATCTTTTGCTTGGGAAGTTCACAATATTGATATTAAAGGGAGAGGAGGACCTGCACGAACCCCATCTAAAGCTTCCAGGGATAAAAAGAAAACTGGTAGGAAGAACTTGAAAGATCATTTCTGTCTTAGAGGAGTAAAATGTCTCTTCATTTTACTTAAATAAAAAAATTCCAAATTTTTACTAATTGTTTCATTAACTGTTTTCTTAAAAGTGTTTCCTAGAAGTTCACTAAAGTTCAACACAATAAAACGCACAGCATCTTTGAAAATTGCCTAAACATGTGAGCTATAATTGCCTAAACATGTGAACTATAATTGCTTATATATAGAGCTCTGCAAATATTTCTCACTTTTTCTCATATTTCAGATGACGCTCAGAAAAATAGTGCTGTTAATGGAACGGCTCCTCTTACAAATGGCCATGTGATAACTGAACAAGCTAATGGTACAAACAATCCATCAAAGGAAGAAAACACAGATTTGGTAAAAAATATAGAAACACTCTTCAACATCAGCTTTTCAGTTGAACGCGGCAAGCTCATTGGTGTTTGCGGAAGCATAGGTGCCGGAAAAAGCTCCCTATTATCTGCTGTCTGTGGTGATGTAAGTCTTTTGTATTCTTATTTTTAGTTTGTCATATTTCATTTTTTTCATTTCTTTTATGCGGTACACAGATAATGTAGTGTACATGTAATACAATATTGTTAGGAACAAAGGAAAGACACTAGTATGCACTGCATTTCAGGCACAGGAAGCCAGTATGATAATTGATGACAAATAGGTATCTGTCTTTTGTTGGATGTGGATGATGTAGACACAAAATTTTGTATCATGCTCATATTCCATTTTCCTTTATTAGCATTCACTTTAAAGCAAGAAAGCATTTTCCTTTTCTTTTGCTTTCAGGCATGAATACTAACATTTTTTCACTTTAACAAGTACTAATTTCTTGAATAATTATTTCAACTCAGTTCATTGACTATATTTATAAGTAGTACACAATGTAACTCTGAAACACATCATAGCTCATGTAACGAATGTTAGTTTAATATGTTTATTATGCACCCCATTCCCATCAGAGGTACATAATTGGTCCAGGGACTGGACTCCAAAGTTTTGATAGCTGAGCAAGTTACAGAGGTAATGAACTCACAATGAATGTGACAGTGTGTTTATGGGAAGATAAAGAGTTCCAGAGGTGTTGATGACAGAAAATGTTGCAGAACATAAATGTGGTGTATAACATTCAGCATTAATAGTATGTTTGTTAGCTATAGACAGGTAACTGGCCATGGCATTAATTGATACTAAATTACTGTATTTTTATAATTAATTTTGCTTACTCAAATTTTTTATTTGTTATTCCTGAAGAAGATATTGTGGCATACTATTGAATAAATTGAAGTCCTTATCCTAAATTTGGTATTTAACTCTGATGTAGAGTAACATTAATGAAGGTATTTAGGGAAACTGGTTAGCTGGACTTGAGTCCTGGATGTGGGAAGTACAGTGCCTATACTCTTAGAGGTGGAATGACGATGTTGCAGTTTGGAGAGTCGCTTGAATTTTGATAAGAAATCCTACTTAATAGTCTGATTCTTAAGTAGTCTTTCAGCATTGGGATTAACTTAGCTGAAATGCAGTGCATGCTAGTGGCTTCCTTTGTGCCAACCATTGTTTCATTATATGTAAACTACATTAGTTTTTTACTGCTTAAAGAAATAAAAATTTGTATTTGTATTTGTGATGTCAGCACACCTCTTGCAAGACAGTGACTTAATGAATGATATACTACTGAATATTTTTCCTCATTTTTTTAGGCCATCCTGCCTCAAGAAGAGACAGCCAGAGTAATAAATAAAAAAGAACAGGCTAATTTTTTCTGTTAGAAATTTACTTTGATATACTGTAGAAAATAATAAGTTTATATCTCAGAATATAGTAGTGACATGGGACATTTAATACGCAGATGAAGATTCAGAGTGGGAGTGTGCAGGTGAATGGACGGCTGGCCTTGGTGACGCAGCAAGCATGGATCTACAATGATACTTTCCGTGAGAACATCTTGGTGGGTCAGAGTTACAACCCAGAGAGGTACAAAATGACCCTTCAAGTGTGTTCTCTAGAATCTGATATCGAACTTTTGGCCGATGGAGAGATGACAGAGATTGGAGAAAGGGGCATTAATCTCAGGTGAAGATTAATACTAATTTATATTCTGTTAAGATAGTTTGATTTAACCCTTTCAGGGTTTCGGCCGTACTAGTACGGCTTACGCACCAGGGTTTTTGACGTACTAGTACGCCTAAATTCTAGCCCCCTCAAATATAGTGAGAGAAAGCTGGTAGGCCTACATATGAAAGAATGGGTCTATGTGGTCGGTGTGCGCAGTGTAAAAAAAATCCTGCAGCACACAGTGTGTAAGGAGAAAAAAAAACTTTGACCGTGTTTTTGGATTAAAACAGCGAATTTGCACTGTACAGTGGACCCCCGCATAACGATTACCTCCGAATGCGACCAATTATGTAAGTGTATTTATGTAAGTGCGTTTGCACGTGTATGTTTGGGGGTCTGAAATGGACTAATCTACTTCACAATATTTCTTATGGGAAAAAATTCGGTCAGTACTGGCACCTGAACATACTTCTGGAGTGAAAAAATATCGTTAACCGGGGGTCCACTGTATTTTCATATGGTATTTATTGTTGTATTCTAGTTTTCCTGGTCTTATTTTATTGAATGGAAGACATATTACAGAAATTGAGAGGATTTTGACTGGTTTTACAATGAAAAGTACCTTGAAATTGAGCTCAAAGTAGCAGAAATGTTCGATTTTTACCAAAGTTCAAAATTAAACAAATCATGCTAAGCGTCCAATACACGTCAACTGGTGAGTCTAATATTCTTTCACAAGTGTGCTGATATTATTTATACCGTTTCTACACTAATGCAGTAGTCTGCATAGCAGTAAATCTTCTATTTTTTGTGAGAATAAGAATTCAAAGTGGAAAGCAAAAGAATGTAAGAGGGGCGTGGGGACGTGACTAATGAACAGAGGAAATGTCATTTTAGTGCCAGGAATGTCTTTTTTTGTTTATTCTGGACCCTATTTAGAAATTGGCATCTTTTGAAATTTGTGTGAAATTGGCAAAATTGCTAAATTCTGACCACTGTATTGGATAGTTGAAATTGTTAAATGGGTGGTTTCTTGTACTCATTCGGTAGAAAAAATGAAGTTCTAGCGAAATAGTTATGATTTTTGTTGACTAGTTTATTGGAATTGGTCGAAAATAGGGCTCAAAGTGGGCAAACGCCGACGCATAAACATCGTTGAGACCGCTAACTTCGCGAGAGCATAATTCTGTAAGTTTTCCATCAAATTTCATACTTTTGGTGTCATTATGATCGGGAAAAGATTCTCTATCTTTTCATAAGAAAAAATAATTTTTTTTCTTTTGAAATTTGGGCGACCCTGAGAACAAGTCTGGGAGAGGACCTGGGGACCCTGAAAGGGTTAATTCAACATTTGTCACACAATATATAGTAGGGCCCCACTCATATGGCAGGTTAGGTTCCAGGCTACCGCCTTAAAGCAGAAATCGCCTTAAAGCAAAACACGATTTTTTCCACTTATAAATGCATATAAATGCCAGACAAGAAATTTGCACTAACTTACATCAAGTTAGTAATAGAACTAGGCATTATAAAACACAATACAAAGTATAATACATACACAATACATTCATTACCTACCTTAAAATATTTGTTGTCTTAAGGGCAAGAGGTGAATACTTCTTATTTGTAGGAAGTCAGGTGTAGGTAGCCCTGGCTCCCTTTCCCAGACTTAATATACAATATTTAACCCTTTCAGGGTCGACAGGCCCTGTCAGGACTTGTTCTCAGGGTCGGCCAAATTTCAAAAGAAAAAAAAAAAAGATTTTTTCTTATGAAAAAATAGTTATTTTTTCTAAACATTATAGGCTACACAAAAAATTTTTACCATCAATATTTACCGAGATATGGAGGCATGAAGTTGACAGAAAATGCGCATCATGTGGTAACATCGCTGACTGACGTCACCCGGTATTCTTTTATTTAGTATTTTATGTATTATTTTCTATTATTTTTTAATTTTTCTTTTTCCAAGTAACTTTTATGGCCTGTGAGACCAATATGATCAGTATTTTGTAAGTTATTTCTTTTTCAATACTACACAATAACGGCATAAACACTGTTGTCATTGTTTTGTTTACAGAAAATATTTATACAAACAAACGATATGAAATGTTCTTTATTACTATTTTGCTATATTTTATATACACATATACAGTCACAGGGAATGTTTCTAGAAGTTCTGCAGCCTGTGGAAGTCTTTGAAACATGGTGTCATGTACAGTGGTGTTTTACACTCCTCACATATAAAACGAGTGTCTCTGCGTTGTTGTGGGCATTTTTTGTATGTGCACAGACGTAACACCTCTTCTGAGCCATTTTCTTGAAAGCAGTAGCAGACAGTTTTAGCAGGAATTGATCACCATGCTTCAAACGAGAAGGAAGTTGTTGAAAATTTGGTGGGCGGTCTATTGCAAGTGTTGTTCCTTGGTACTTGAATACTATTTGTCTGATGACAGACAAACAGAATTTGCCGTATGGTGGTTTGTTTCTGGTCCTCATCTTATACATATTATAAGCATTCAGCATGGAAATGTCCAGATGATGGAAAAAGAGTTTTATGTACCATCACTACCACTAGCACCATGCACATTTTCCATCCCAATTGCAACAGTATCGTCGTCATTTTCACTGTCAGTTCCTGTTGTACAGCCACGGGATGTACTCCGAGATGTACTCCTTCCCCCTGGAATAGCATATGGCACACTACCAGAGTGCATATATCGTCGTATATACTGACGCTTCACTGGGGAATATTGCACTTCACTATCACTACTGGAACTAGTTTGAAGAGCTTGTAGTTCATAATCACTATCATCACAAATGCTCACATCTGAGTCTGGGATTTGGGAAAATAGGAGTTTCCTCTTTGATTCTCGTACAACTGAGCGTGAACAAGACGGCCCAGCAGCAGAGGTGGATGGCTGAGGGTTGTCTGGGTTTTCCTCACTATTACCGATATTATGGCCATTAGTTTCGGTCAAAACCTCACCAGAACCTTGAAACTCATCTTCACTGGCACTTCCATCTGTATAAGAATTGTCACTGGGGAACAAAAGTGTCCCAATTCTCCGAGGAGTGAGGAGCTTCTTTCCGCGAGGCATGGTGGATAAGTTGCACTAAAATGGCGTTCCCACAATGCGCCACTGGGTCCCAGATTTTTTTTTCTACTGCGCACACCCACCACACAGACCCATTCTCTTACATCTAGGCCTACCAGCCTTTTCCTGCGAGATTTGAAGGTGCTAGAATTTATGCGTACTAGTACGTCAAAAACCCTGGTGTGTAAGCTGTACTAGTACGGCTGAAACCCTGAAAGGGTTAAAGCAGCTCAGAGAGATAAAATACACATACAGTACACTCATTATTTACCTTGAAATATGTGTAGTCTTAATGTAGAATGGGAGGTGAGTAGTATTTATTTGTAGGAAGTCAGGTGTAGGTAGCCGGTAGATGTAGCTATGTAGTTCACCTGGCTACATAGCTGCACCTACCTACATAGCTATATGATATTTAATGCAGCCAAGAGCCATATTATTACTATCGACATACCTTGTTCACTGAGTTTAATCATTTCTAACAACTACCTTTAGATGCCATCATAAATGAAGGGAGAAGTAATGAATAATTCATGCCGGGAATTGTAAACAAACACGGACTGTTTAAGGGGAGTGACTGGGCCAAATGCAGATTCATACATTTTCTCTGGTGCTGGACCAGAGAAAACGCAATGTTTTTCCCTCCGCCCGGCTACCACACCTCCATAGCATGTAAACATGGCATGTTTATATGCTATGTAATGTGTTTCTTATACATATAATTTTGAAGAAAATATCATAGATGAATTAACGAAAATGTTTATATTAATGTAAAATAAGACATTTAATGTGCCCAAGAGTTAAGACTAGAGGGACGCTCTTAGTGATTTTAATGTGTACCTGCATACCATCACAGTGTATATTTAGGCACATAAGTATTATTATCAAAGTACATATAAAATATGCAATAACTTTAAAGCACTTGAAATTTTGGAGGGTTTCCAGACACATCATTCTCACGGAGAATGTTAACAAACTGGGTGGGGAGCACCGTATTAGAAAGACAGCCGTATGGTGAGTTTTGGTCATAATTTGAAATTACTGTATTAGTGGAATGCCGTAAGGTGAAATGCCGTAAAGCAGTGCTCTACTGTAGTACTGTATTTTAAATCTTCAAAACATCACAGTGGTGCAATTATTCTTTTCTATAGTATAACATACTTAAAACACTTGATTATACTGTATGATCATTATTTTACTATACAGTGAACCCCCAGTTTGCGATATTAATCCATTCCTGAGAGCTCATCATAAACCAAAATTATGGAAAAGCGAATCAATTTTCCCCATAAGAAATAATGGAAATCAAATTAATCCGTGCAAGACACCACAAAGTATGAAAAAATTTTTTTTTACCACATGAAATATTAAGTTTAATGCACACAAACTGAAAAAGACATGCACAGTTTGTAGTACTCTACTAACAAAAGAATACATGACACTTACCTTTAATGAAGATCTGGTGATGATTGATGGGATGGGAGGAGGGGAGAGTGTCGAACTTATTGTTTAGAAGGGGGATCCCCTTCCATTAGGACTTGAGGTAGCAAGTCCTTTTCCGGGGTTACTTCCCTTCTTCGTTTAATGCCACTAGGACCAGCTTGAGAGTCACTGGACTTCTGTCGCGCAACATATCTGTCCATAGAGGCCTGTACCTCTCATTCCTTTATGACTTTCCTAAAGTGGTTCACAACATTGTCATTGTACAGGTTGCTAGCACGGCTTGCAGTAGCTGTGTGAAGGTGATTTTCATCAAAAAAGGTTTGCACTTCAAGCCACTTTGCACACATTTCCTTAATCTTTGAAGTAGGCAACTTCTTCAGTTTCTCTATCACCTCCTCTGAAGCAGTTTCCTCAGGTCTGGCCTCTTGATGTTGAAGATGATTTACTAGCTCATCAGTGGTTAGTTCGTCATTGTCCTCCTCCACCAACTCTTCCACATCCTCCCCACTAACCCCAAGGACTTCCCCAATGCCACAATGGATTCCTCAACTGGCATAGGATTCCCAGGGTTAGCCTCAAACCCTTCAAAATCCCTTTTGTCTACACATTCTGGCCACAATTTTTTCCAAGCAGAGTTCAAGGTCCTCTTAGTCACTCCCTCCCAAGCCTTACCTATAAGGTTTACACAATTGAGGATATTAAAGTGATCCTTCCAAAACTCTTTTAGAGTCAATAGAGTGTCTGTGGTCACTTCAGAGCCCCTTTCAAACATAGCTTTTGTGTACAGTTTCTTGAAGTTGGAAATGACCTGCTGGTCCTTGGGCTGCAGGAGAGGAGTGGTATTAGGAGGCAAAAACTTGACCTTAATGAAGCTCATGTCCCCAGAAAGTCTCTCTGCCAAGTCTGTAGGATGACCAGGGGCATTGTCTAATACCAGGAGGCACTTAAGGTCTAATTTCTTTTCAATTAGGTAATTTTTCACATTGGGGGCAAATGAATGATGTAACCAGTCATAGAAAAAGTCCCTAGTGACCCATGCCTTACTGTTTGCCCTCCACAGCACACACAAATTAGCCTTGAGGATATTCTTTTGCCTGAACGCTCTGGGAGTTTCTGAATGATACACCAATAAAGGCTTCACTTTGCAATCACCACTAGCATTGGCACACATCAGAAGAGTAAGCCTGTCTTTCATAGGCTTATGTCTTGGGAGTTTAAAAACTGTAGTGTAAAGCACCCTTCTGGCAAGACAGTGATGGAGTGAATGATGGTGAAAGTTTTTCTTTTTCGGGCCACCCTGCCTTGGTGGGAATTGGCCAGTGTGATATTAAATATAATAAAATATGTCTTGGGAGTGCCTTTTCCTCCTGAGTAATGTAGGTCCTGCTTGGCAATTTCTTCCAAAACAGGCCTGTTTTGTCGCAATTAAACACTTGTTCAGGTTTCAAGTCTTCACTGTCTATGTAATCCTTGAATTCCTTCTCCTGTATATATTACTAAATTTAAAAGGAGAAACTTCAGTTTTTCTTTTGGGCCACCCCACCTCAGTGGGATACGGCTGGTACGTTGAAAGAAGAAAAGAAGAAGAAGATTTTTCAGCTGCTTTTTGGTCCGAACTGGCAGCCTCACCATGCCTAATCACACTATGTATGCCACTATGATTCTTAAATCTTTCAAACCAACCTTTGCTGGCCTTAAATTCACTCACATCACCACTAGTTGCAGGCAATTTCTTTACCAAATCGTCATGCAACTGCCTAGCCTTTTCACAAATGATCGCTTGAGAGATGCTATCTCCTGCTATCTGTTTTTCATTTATCCACACCAATAACAGTCTCTCAACATCTTCTAGCACTTGCGGTCGCTGTTTCGTAATCACAGTTGCACCTTTTGCAACAACAGCTTCCTTGATTGCCGTTTTCCTGGTCACTACAGTAGAGATGGTTGATTGGGGTTTTGTATACAACCTGGCCAGCTACGACACACGCACTCCACTTTCGTACTTTGCAATTATCTCTTTCTTCATTTCAATAGTCTTTTTCTCGAAGGGTTGGCACTAGAAGCTTTCTTGGGGCCCATGGTGACTTATTTTGCAGAAACAAGTATCAAAAACACTAATAATATGGAATGTACCGAATGTATCCTTAGATGCGAGCACACTGGCTGGCTTGTAAACACTGGCACACACAGGGCAGTTCAGGCCACACGTGGACACGTCTCGGACAAATCACGTATTCCGGGATTTTTAACGGGAATCGAGGCAAAATTTTTGCATTAAAATGTATCGAATACTGGATTTATCAGATACCGATGGCATTGCGAACCGGGGGTCCACTGTATATGAAAACTACAGTGGACCCCCGCTTAACGATCACCTCCCAATGCGACCAATTATGTAAGTGTATTTATGTAAGTCCATTTGTACGTGTATGTTTGGGGGTCTGAAATGGACTAATCTACTTCACAATATTCCTTATGGGAACAAATTCGGTCAGTACTGGCGCCTGAACATACTTCTCGAATGAAAAAATATCGTTAACTGGGGGTCCACTGTATTGTCATTTGCTCTATCTAGTTATTTTATGATTTATGTTGTATTTCATTCACCTTACAATTTTGGCATAATTTATAATTTTGACTGCATGTCTGAAGTTTTTCTTAGGTAGTAGGTTGGTAGACAGCAACTGCCCAGGGAGGTACTACTGTCCTGCCAAGTGAGTGTAAAATGAAAGCCTGTAATTGTTTTACATGATGGTAGGATTGCTGGTATCTTTGTGTGTCTCATAAACATGCAAGATTTCAGGTACGTCTTGCTACTTCTACTAGCATTTAGGTCACACTGCTCATGCATGTACAAGCATATATATACACGCCCCTCTGGGTTTCCTTCTATTTTCTTGCTACTGTAGTTCTTGGTCTTGTTTATTTCCTCTTTTCTCCATAGGGAAGTGGAACAGAATTCTTCCTCCGTAAGCCATGTGAGTCATGAAAGGCGACTAAAATGCTGGGAGTAAGGGGCTAGTAACCCCTTCTCCTGTATAAATTACTAAATTTAAAAAAAGAAACTTTTGTTTTTCCTTTTGTGCTACCCTGCCTTGGTGGGATACGGCCGGTTTGTTGAAAGAAGAAGAAAAAGAGAAACTTTGGTTTATCTTTTTGGGTCACCCTGCCTCAGTGGGATACAGGTGATTTGCTGAAAGAAGAAGAAGCCTGAAGTTTTTAGAGCGCAAAAGAATAATAAATAAACATAGACGTGAAGAAAAAAAAGACAGAAATTCAAGCAAGTAACATAAGAATTGTTAGTTGCAACTTAAAGATTCATTAACTAATTCATTTTTTAAATATTTTGTTATGAGCTTGTGCTAGTTTATCTACTGACTATCATAAAGTTATAGTACTTTTTTTTTTGGATATCTTGTACAGTATTTATTAATTTGTTAAATATTTTGTTATGAGCTTGTGCTAGTTTAACTATTAAATATCATCGAGTTGCAGTACTTATTGTTGGATATCTTTATTTATTAACTTCTTCACATTTCAGCGGTGGGCAGAAGCAGAGAGTTAACTTGGGCCGGGCAGTGTACAGTGATAGGGATATTTACCTACTAGATGATCCTCTAAGTGCTGTGGATACCAAGGTTGCCAAACACATCTTTAACACCTGCATAAAAGGAACACTACGTGACAAGACAGTCATTCTTGTTACTCATGCTACTCATGTAAGTGGTTGCTTGTGCTTTTCAATTCAGCATGAGTGCAGGGAGTCCTTGCCTTATGCTTGCTGATGGAGATAAGAGTTTAAGAACATAGTAGACATGATGTAAAAAAAGGAGACAGTGTGCAGGGTTGAAAAACTATGTTATACTTAGATATAGTAACCTAAGAGAAAGAAACTTCAAGGAAAACTTCAAATTTTTATAAAGTGAATCATGAATTACCCATTGCCTTTCATAACTGATTTCCTTTATTTTTTCTATGTGGAGCTGTTGTTGGCGATAAAAGAATTAATCATAGAAATGTTTATTATGGGATATATTTAATTGTGTTTTGTATGATAGTAATTGAGTAGTGTACGCATAGTTTTCTCATTTATTATTGTCAGCATGTCCAGTATTTATACTTGTGTGATTTCCTTTTTCAGTTCCTTGAAAAGTGTGATGAGATTATTCTTCTTCAAAAAGGCAAGATTGTGGAGCGTGGTACTCATGCTGAACTTATAGCACGTAAAGGAGAATACTTTGACATGGTTGGATTCGATTCTACACATGATGCAGATAAAGCTGAAGAAGAAAAAAAAGCAGATGCCCTGATATCGGAAGATTCGGGTATGTGTAAAGTTGCGATTATTTCTGCACAGAATTTATCACAAACAATTATCTATTTTTTTTAATATACCAACCATTTCCCAGCAAGGCAAGGTGATCCAAAGAAAAGAATAAAACTTTATGAAGTTTTCCCTCTTTTTACAATTCGTAATTTATACAAGAGAATCATTTACTAGCCCCTTGAATTATCTGTTTATGATTACTTATTTTAATTTACAGAAGCAGAGCTAGGCTCATGGTATCCCATCAACAGTGTTGAATTTATGATATAGGATCCCTTCAGCTGTAATCTAAATTCTCTACCATTGAAATGAAGGTCACCCCATTTAACCAGTATGCAAGACCTTGCATGATTCAAGATATGACTTAAACTTTATGTGTTGTGTGATAACTGCATAATATTTTATTTATTTTGATTAACTATAAATAAGACACTTGTGCAACACCTGGGTATCTTTTTTTTCTGGAAACGTTCTGCCAGCCAGTGGCTTCTTCAGTCCAGTGCAGAGAAATGATGGAAGATGAGGTGGAGTGTGAGGTAATCAGAATACAGTTACCCAAGTGTTGCACAAGTGTCGTATTTATCAACTTGTCGGTTTTCTGAATCATGTATTGATAACTAACTATGTACTATTTACTTGTTTTAGATAAGAAAGCTGTGAATGTCAGTAAAAGTAAGTGTTATGCGACTGAGCTTCTGAATTTGATGGCCAAGCATGATGAAAGAACTAAGTTAACAGCATGTCAGTAGCTTTGCACTTCTAGGGAACTTTATATTACTGAGATTTGGGCTTTCCCAGTACTGTTAATATGAAAGCTGAGCATTAAGTAATTTTAATATAATGATGATAATATTTTATATCACAGTCAGCATTTCTCAAAATGCCACTTATGTAGACACTGAAATTTAATTCTTTTCACTTATTGCATTTTTTTTTTTTGCAGTATTTCATTCCATGCTCTAATGAAATGCCTTACTGCTTATCAACTAATATACACATACACCAAGACATTCCAGCACAGCTTTTTAATATTTCTTCTGCTCTAACAAACAAATGCTGTATCTCCACACGAGTTCTTGCATGTTTGGTTGAATAAAAATAGAAATTTATCTTCCAAAGATGTTTTTAAAGAGACTGCTATTTTCTTTTTAAGGTGCTACTGCTCAAGATGTAGATTTTTATATATTGATGCATTTTCCATAGATATTTTGAATAAATTGTGGTTAATGAATGCTTTTGCAGAGAAATAAATAATGTTATTCACAGACATTCTGAATGCAGTTTTCATTTTGTTTGCATGTTTGTAAAGTTGTGACATTATGAATATAAAACAAAGTAATGGAAACTATAAATTTTTGTATTCTCTTGCACCGTAGATACGAAAGAGGATGTCAAAGGACCCATGATGAACGGTAAACTTATTACTGAGGAGAGCAGAGAAACAGGAAGTGTCAGTAGCAAGGTCTATTTAACATTTATTAAGGTAAGAATGTGTATGCTTTCATAAAGTTACGATGTATCTGCTACTTTTATTATAAACTTCGTCTGTATTGTAATCACAGCCTTGATTATCAGAATTATGTTTGTCTTACACTTTATCAAAATCACCAAAATTTTCAATATTTTGTTTCTTTTTCTATTTTTTCCCGAGCCTTGATTGTACCTGTGTAATATTATTGCCTATTTCTTTATCTGAACTGTAGTATCTGCATGCCTTTGGCAAAACAGTGATAGAGTGAATGATGGTGAAAGTTTTTTTTTTTTTTTTTTTTTTTTTTTTTTTTTTTTTTTTTTTTGAGAGGGTGGGGAGTTATCCTACCTTGGTGGAAGATGGCCAGTGTGATAAGAAATAAAAATTGTAAATATGTAACGTGTAGAGTGTAATCACATACCTTCGACTAGACTATATAAACATTCAACTGGCAGTATTGTTTGACATATATTTTGAACATTCTAACTCTTTTTTTTTCATATTAGAATTTTCACTTGCAACAAATGTTCCATCTGCTTAAGTGTCTTTCCCTTTTTGTTTTGTATATTGCAGCATTTTTTCCATCTTTGGAATTTCTAAGAAATCACATTTAAGTGCAAGAACTTTTGTAGAGGTATTGTAAGCGATACAATTAAAGTGCTGAAATAGTAGAATCTTGACTTAAATAACAAAAAGGCACAATACCGTGACTGGAACAATACACAAATAACACACACGTAGGAGAGAGGAGCTTATGACAATGTTTTGGTCCGGCTTGGACCATTTACAAACTCACGCATGTCGTTGTAAGCTCCTCTCTCCCGTGTGTGGGTTATTTGTGTATAATCTTGACTTAATTTCTTAATATATCTGTTATTTTATTAATTATTAATTAAGGGGTAACCATCCTAAATGCTCTTATCATTTAGTCACCTAAGACATACAGGGAACTGTAAAAAGTGAATAAATAGATTGTGTTAGTTATGCCAGTAGAACGACCCCCTTCAAGGGGAATACCATGATGGTAGTGAAGGGCTCTTGATTTCCCATGATATTAATAAAAATAGACTGATAGCTTAAGTAATATTTGACTCTTAAAACGTTTTAATGTACAGATGCTATCAAAGAAGAGCTGAAAAATAGATGAGATATATTTTTTTTCTAGGAACTGTTAACTCAGTGAACCATTCTTAATGCAAGGAAATGAAGAAACTACTGAAAAATCTTTTCAATACCATGAGAGAATTACCTAAGGGCAACTACTGATATACAAATAACCCACAACACAGTATGGAAAGTCATTTGAATTGTGATGCATGTTCACTCTTCTGATAAGAGAGCTATTGGATGAATAATGGTGAATGTATTTCCTTTTTTAAATTGCCCTACATAGGTGGGAGACAACTGGTGTGATTAAATATAAAAAAAAGATAAGCTTTGTACAGGTTAACCATTATTATTACATTCATGGGAATAACACTAAACCCATAAGAGGTTGTAGAGTACTTGGAGGAATAAGAGGCAAACATATTTGATCCAAGGAAGAGGAGGATGGTTCTAATTCCATAGATCAAGTACCCTTCAAGGGCATTAAGGCACCTTGAATTATTATTATTACACTCATGGGGAAACACTGAACCAGTAGGTCATACATCACCTGCAGAAAAGGGAGGCATTCAGATTCAGTTCAAGGAAGGGGAGCACAAATCCAGTTCCTCATATCAAGAGCTCCTTACCAACATCAAAGAAACTTCCTGGAATGGTATACAGGTTAATTACATACTGTTTTACACACAGTGCAATATTTAAATGGTGGTCATTGACTCCTCATTTTACTGTATGGTGTACTAAGATTAAAAATTCATATGATAAAAATAATAGAAATGTTTCCAGTTATTCACTGCAGCAATGTATAACCCATACTGTTTTAACACTTTCTTTTTTATTACCTGTGTAATAATAATAATAATAATAATAATAATAGTAATAATAATTTTTTTTTTCAACAAGTCAGCCGTCTCCCACTCAGAATAATTTATATTTGCTCTCCATTTATTTATTTATTTATTTATTTATTTATTTATTTATTAACAATTTGAGCACACATACAGAGGTACAACAAGGGGAAGTGGAACAGAATTCTTCCTCCATAAGCCATGGGTGCCATAAGAGGCGACTAAAATGCCAGAAGCGAAGTGCTAGTAACCCCCTCTGTATATAATGCTAAATGTAAAAGGAGAAACTTTTGTTTTTCCTTTTGGGTCACCCTGCCTTGGTGGGATACAGCTGGTTTGTTGAAAGAAGAAAAATTATTATTACTCAGAATAAGTAATATTTGTTTTATTGCTTAGTAATGGTAATAGTGTTTTGACTTCAGAAGATGTTTCTTTATATAAATTGAAAAACTATTAGGATTTGCAATTAATTCTGAAAAATTCTTATTGCTATCTTTATCTCAGTAATAGAATGACTTTAAGGAGGGGGGTGAAGGGGCTGGAACCTTTATTTCATGATGTTTCTCTAACATTAAGGCTTTATTAAACTAGTAAAATAAAAATAAATTCCCTGCCTAAAATGTCTTGGAATTACTACTTGTCAGCTGATGTCATTGTTTACCTCTCTGTATACTTTAAAGTGTCTGAATTACCACTTGTCAGCTTACATCATTATCTGCCTCACTGTATCTTACTCTTCTATCAGGCCAGCGGAGGATGGTGCATAACAAATATCATCCTGTTTGCCATCATCATCTTTACGTTGACTAGAATGTTTAATGCAGTGTGGCTCCAACATTGGCTCGATCAGGTAAAATATTCAAAATAAACATATTCCTTATTTAGCAGTGTACAGTATACATAAAGTGAATTGTGTGTTCAGTGAGGTGGATTGTATGTTCAGTGAAATTAATTGTGTATTCATTTATATACATATTATGCAAGGATTTTCTGTTGTCTGTAGAATGATGGAGGATTTTTTTTTTTACAAATATTTTTCCCCATATTGTCGAACATGATCTTGAAGCACATAATCCCTATCATTTTCACAGGGTGATGGCATGGCAGCAGAAAGGAGGGAAAATGTAACGGCATATAACCTCACCTTATCTGATGAGGATATAAAGGGTGAAATTACGCAAAATCCCATGTTGTGGATGTACCAGTTAGTATATGGACTGAGCTTTGTGTTGCTCCTTATCACTGGTATTATCAAAGGCATTGGAGTTACTTTCAGGTATGGAGGAACTTGTGTTTTATACAAATAATGTAAAATTCTTGTCTGAAAAATGGGCATTTGTTGTTGCATATATCATTTGCAGTACATCTGTATTCATCATTGCTTGTACAGAAAGCCCTTGTACAATAAGATTTTATTTGCACAGAATTTTAAAAGACATTTTTTGGCAAAAGGCAAAATTGCAATAATTATTATTTGGTGAGAAATGGGAGATATGTTATAACACACAGGCACAAAAATACAAGTAGCATGTTGCATTAACTGGGTTCACCTGACACTGGCTCTCTAATATTGGGATTTGGGTTCATACGACACCTTCAGCAGTCACAACACTAAACTTGACATCCAAAAAATCATTATCTATGTCTGAATCATAAATAACATTTAAACATTAGGATTAGCTTATCTGAAATGCATTGCATACTAATTGCTTTCTTTTCTGCTCAGTGTTTTCTTACATGTAAACTACATTTTTTTACCATGTAAAGAAATAAAAATTGTATTGTGAGTAACCAAGCATTCACTAAATTTACTGTACAATACAGTATATTAGAAGTAGACTGTCTGTACGATTCCTTAAGGCACTTGATTTTATAGCTATTTCTATTGTATTTGCCATTTGTCTAGGTGCAGGGCTAATCTCTCTCATTTATTCTCTGGCACAGTCTCACTGAGTCTGAAAACTGAAGCTTTCAGTCTCAGTGAGACTGTATCATAAGTATCAGAGGTATCATGAGTATCATAAGTATCACAAATATCACTAATATCACAAGTATCACAAATATCACAAATATCACAATTATCACAATCAACACTAGTATCACAAGCACTATAAGTCTGACGGGTCAGCAGTACTAGGGGCTTGAAGCAGCAGTGCATAAAACTACTGTTATCTCATCTCAGACTAGCAAACGATTTGTAGTTAAATAATAGAGCCTTTGATATATAAACCAGAGTTTATGGTTATGTAGACACCGTATATGCAGTATACGATATTTTGTGCATGTCAGTTCAGAGCTATGGCACATCATACATCTGTTGTAGTTCATATTTAATTTTCATTTCACTGATTTTGCAAAGATAATAACTGTATCATAATGCTATGATGGAGAATATTTTCAGTTTCTAATGATATTTATTGGCGAAACTGTTGACTGATGTGACAGTTATTGTTGACTTGACATGCTGTTGGAGTGAGTAGGGTAGTACTTATGTATAGATTCAGGGAAACCAGCAGGCCGGACTTGAGTCCTGGAGACGGGAAGTACAGTGCCCGCACTCTGAAGGAGGGGTGTTAATGTTCACCAACTTTCACTCCATCACTGTCTTGCCTCTGGCAAGACAGTGATGGAGTGAATGATGGTGAAAGTTTTTTTTTTCAGGCCACCCTACCTTGGTGGGAAACGACGATGTGTTAATAAAAATAAATAATAATTGTCCCTCTATATATAGTACTATATACCTGGATACCTGGAGAGAGTTCCGGGGGTCAACTTTATGAGAATAAACTGATAAAATTACTAATTATGGGTTATACATGCTTTTCTAGGAATAACATGAATCATTTTCAGAGTTCTGGCAGGTGCTTCAAAACTGCATCATGCTATGTTTATTAGCATCCTTCGTGCACCCATGAGTTTCTTCGACACAACTCCAACTGGGCGAATCCTCAACAGATTCTCAAGAGATCTTGATGAATGTGAGTGTACATTAATATATAAATATTTTCCATCATTTATTCAATTTCTGCCTTTTCGGAAAAGTGCTTACATGACAATTCAGATTACCCTCTGACTGCAACATCCCCACCTTTGTTTAGAGTGCAGGCATTGCCTTTCCTACCTCCAGAACTCAAATCAGACTAACTGGTTTCCCTGAGTCCCTTCATAAAACTTAACCTTGTTCACACTCCAACAGCACATTCATTAAAAAGCACTTTGTCTCCATTCATTCCTGTCTGATGCTTTCAAGCCTGCTGGATGTTTAAGCCCCTCCAACTGAAAATCCTCTTTTACTCTCTTCCTCCTCTGGTAAATTCTCTTTTTTGCTTCCAAAGATAAATTTCTTTCCACAGATTCTTCAACACACCACCCACATTTTTACCCTTCAATCAATCATAGTATTCTTATTTTTGTTCTTATTATTCCTATTTATCATTATTCTTTATTACAAAATAATAATATACTCAACCCCTGCCAATTTGGATTCAGGAAAAATAAAAGCACTAATGATGCAATCATAAAAATGCTAGATCTGCTTTACACAGCATTGGAAAATAAGGAATATCCACTAGGAATTTTTATTGACCTTAGAAAAGCTTTTGACACAGTAGACCACGACATCCTACTCCACAAACTTGACCATTACGGTATAAGAGGCCATGCGCTTGCTTATTTCAAATCTTACCTTACTAATAGGTATCAGTATGTCACCATTAAAGACACAGCATCAACAACATGGCCACTTGATACTGGAGTTCCCCAGGGAAGTGTCCTTGGTCCCCTGCTCTTCCTCATATACATCAATGATCTTCCGAACGTATCGCAACACCTGAAACCCATTCTCTTTGCTGATGACACGACTTATGTCATCTCTCACCCTAATCTTGCCACCCTCAACACCATTGTTAACGAGGAGCTGATCAAAATATCGACTTGGATGACAGCCAATAAACTTACTCTTAACACTGACAAAACCTACTATATTATGTTTGGTAGCAGAGCAGGAGATGCACAAATTAACATTAAGATCGACAACACTCTAATTACCAGACATAATGAGGGCAAATTCCTAGGCCTATACCTTGACAACAACCTGAATTTCAGCACCCATATCCAACACATAACCAAAAAAGTATCCAAAACGGTTGGGATCCTCTCCAAGATACGATACTACGTGCCGCAAAATGCCCTTCTCACACTATACCACTCACTTATTTATCCATACCTCACCTATGCTATTTGTGCTTGGGGATCAACTGCAGCAACACACCAAAAGCCAATAATAACCCAACAAAAAGCTGCAGTAAGAATAATCACTAAATCCCATCCCTGGCAACACCCCCCCCCCCACTCTTCATAGATCTAAACTTACTCCCTGTTCAGTACATCCACACTTACTACTGTGCAAACTTACTCCCTGTTCAGTACATCCACACTTACTACTGTGCAATCTACATCTACAGGACCTTAAACTTCAATATCAACCTTGACCTAAAATGCTTTCTTGACAGTTGTGACAGAACCCACAAGCATAACACCAGACACAAATATCTCTATGACATTCCCCGTGTCCGACTAAACCTTTACAAAAATTCAATGTATGTCAAAGGCCCTAAAATCTGGAACACCCTACCTGAGAACTCTAGAACTGCAGACACATTCATCACCTTCAAAACTACCATTAGAAAACATCTTATCTCCCTGATACACCCCATCAACTAACTACACGAATACCACCTGGTGGTTCACACTTACACTCACTCACCCATTTGACCATAAACAGAAATATTAACCTCAATCTTAAAATAATGAATCCTGTGATACTCCAATACTGAAACTATGTACTGTGCCAAAACAAAAGCATTCACATTGCTAAACTCACAAACTAGTATTTAGTCACTTAGCCATAATACCAACTTACCTCATAATTTGTAATATTTTAAAATTAAACTAAGTCTGCCCGAAATGCCTAGTCATGCTAGGTGTTCTAGTGGTACACTCTGTAATCATTATTTAACTACATGTAAACCACACAATAACCAAATTCTGTAAACTCAGCATTGTAATCCTTATAGAGAATAAACTTTGAATTGAATTTGAATTTGAATATTGTAATCTATAATTCTTACCTAGGTAATATCAGTTTAAAAATCAATCTTTCAATCAATCAATCATTGCCTGTATGGATTGAAAAATTAGCTTTTATTTATACAGTATGTATGTATGTATGTATACATATGTATGTAGTGGAGGGAAGCAGGGTAAGGGTTGCCCTAGGAAAGGGTGGAGGCAGGGAGTAGAGGAGGTTTTTGTGTGTAAAGGATCTTGGACATCTAGTGAGCATGTGTGTTTGTTAGATAAGACCAAGTGGAGGCAAATGGTTTTTGGGACTTGACGAGTTGTTGGAGTGTGAGCAAGGTAACATTTTGGGAAGGGATTCAGGGAAACTGGTTAGCAGGACTTGAGTCTTGGAGGTGGGAAACCTGCACTCTGAAGGAGGGGTGGGGATATCTGCCATTTGGAGAACCATCTATGTAGATATGTATATTATATACAAACTTCCTTGATGATATATGATAGAGATATTGAGTTAACTGAATGTTGTATTGATTTATCCCTGTGAATAGTGGATGTGCGTGTCCCATTTTTCTTGGAGTTCCTGCTGCAGGGTATTCTCTTCATCATTGGTCAGATCATCCTGGTGTGCTTCATCTATGTCTGGTTTATTCTTCCCCTCCTCCTCGTTGCAGGTAAGTCTCTCTCTCTCTCTCTCTCTCTGTTATTGAAGCCAATTTTTTCTTCCTGTCTTTTATATTTATCTAGTTGTCTGTATCTTTTTTTGCTATAAAAATTTAAGAATGCTCTTGCCAAAATTTTATACATGTGTTAGCACATTATGTGAAAGTTAAATGTAAAGGGATAAATGCCATTATAGTTGCCTTTACTATTAACATTATTTATTTCTCTCTACAGTTTTGTTTGTTGCTGTTGACATCTTTCTAAATGCTGGTTTGCGTGAGATGAAACGTTTGGATAATACCCTCAAGTCTCCTGTCACCCAGCATATAGGTTCTTCCATCTCTGGTCTTTCTGTCATCCGTACCTTTGATAAGGAGAGGCTGTTTATCAACAGGTAATTTTAATTTTGAGCTGTTGGCTCCTTTTGTTCTTGTAGTTGAGAAGTTTTTTAGTTTTGTTTTAGTGATTTAGATGGGAGGGTTATTCGGTTTACTTAGTATAACTTCTTTGGTCTTAGCAAATTTACTTCAGCCCACTATTAGAGAGAGGGTTTTTCATGTCTTTTTTTATATTTACGTATTTTGTTTTGTTTTGTTAAACTTGTTAACATAATAGTATAGTGTTTGGATTACTTGATTAGCTTGGTGAGTGCATATGTGCATCTTTTTTTTTTGTATTATACTTAATTTTTCTTTTACAAGAGAGCGTTCTTATTCGGCAGGTTAGGTTCCAGGCTACTGCTGTAAAGTGAAAATTGCATTAAAGAGAATCTTAGCCTTTTTTTCACTTTCAAATTCATATATAAACCTGATAACATCTTAACACTTTCATACATTAAGTGAGCAATAGAGCTAAACTTAACAAATACATATACAGTACACACATTACCTTAAAATATTTTCATCCTTAGCTGATAGTGAGTGGTGAATATATTTATTGGAGGAAGTCTGAATAAATGAAGAATGGGCATAATTGAAAACTGCTGTATTAGTGAAATGTTGTAAAGAGGGGCCCTCCTGTTTATGTGAATGCTGCTTCATTAGGCAACATGTTTGTTCCATGATTAGTGGATGGAGGATCAAGCCTAAGCCACTCTTTTTTTTTGCTGAAGTACTGTGCATACTATGGGCTTTTCCACCCATTTTGTGAAATGGTCTTTTAATCAATATTATTTACAGGATGTACAGCAAACTGGATGATCATTCTGCGGCTTTGCTGGTGTTTCGTCTCTCAAATCGTTGGTTCACCTTTCGGATGGACTTTATGGCCACATGTGTTACCCTTGCTGTAACCATCATTTGCGTCTTCACGAAAGGTCTTGTCAGCACTGCACTTGCTGGTCTTGCCTTATCAACTGTTACTGGAGTAAGCATAATTAGACTCCTTTATTGTATTGCCTTTTCCATAGAAGGGAGATGGTATTTTCTTATGCTTCTCTGCTTGGAACTGTTCCTCATGATATGATCATATTTAAGTCTTGGTTTACAAAAAATGTATTGGATATTGTAAAAAATAAAGGATTTTGATACCATGCTTGAGGCATTTTTATTTTTTATTTTACTTGTAACAATCTATACATTAAAGCAATTTAATTTATCTGAATTAAAAAATGGCTAGGGACCCAGCAAATTGAAGGGTTTGATGGATGAAAGGTCTGGATTGCTTGCAGATACATTTAGTGAGTCAGTCTTCAACAAATCATGATGCAGAAATGGTAGCAATATGGATGACTTCTGAGATAGGTGTGCATAATTAGTGTGAAAACACCAGCCAACTGCAGCAGTTATTCTCAGGAAATGCAATCAAGAAAAGCAACAGCTTTTCCCATGCCACTGAAGGATTTGGACCCTTTGGTGTGCACAACCGTACCATGTGAATGTGATTGAAAAGGATCAAGAAAATATGAACCAGAATCCAAAGTAGAGAAGTGAAACTTTGGGAATAGGCATTTGCCATGGTTGGAGGAAAAAGTAAGATACAGAAAGAACGAAACAATGAGTTAGACTAAGGTGTGCAAATAAAAATAACTTTGAAATTTTCAGGTTTGTGTGTCCATTCCTTTCCTGATGAGGATGAAATCTGAATTCCAGTCTCGCATAACTTCTGTTGAACGTATCATAGAGTATGCATATGTAAGTATTACTTGTGTTCTCTTTGTTGGGATGCACTCTGCATATACTTGTTTGAAGCTAAATATATCAGTATCTCAAAGTTTATGTATTTAAATGTCAATACTTTTAAAGGGTAATGTATAAAATATAAAATATTTTACCTAGAAAAAAATAAGTAATAAGACTGCCATACACTGTGGGTGTGGTATATTTAAGATTTGACTGAAAAAAAATTGGGTGTTTTAGAATTTTCCTTATACATAGTTAAAATGACATTTTGATAAGAGTAAGTGAATGAGAAAGGAAGGGAAAGAAAAGGGAAGGGAAGGGAAAAAACTTGAACTCATTGGACACATTTTTTCCTTGTATTACCTTTATCTCTCATATGGGTTTTCTTTTATTGGCTTTGCATTATTGCTTATTTTTATATTTTGGATATTCTGATATGTGGGGCCTTCTGCCTTGGTGGGAGATGGTCGACTTGTTAAAAAATATAATCTTATATCTTGGTAAATAATTTTTAAAATTAAAGAGTACCTAGACACTAAGGTTTTTAAACACTATTTTTAGGAACTGCCCAGCGAAGCTCCCAGGGAGATTCCCTCATCTCAGCCACCTGCTGATTGGCCGTCTAAGGGCAATATTGAGTTAAAGGATGTCAAGCTTCGATATAGACCTGACCTACCTCTTGTGCTTCATGGTATTAATGCTTCTATCAAAGATGGAGAGAAAATTGGAATTATTGGACGGACTGGAGCCGGTTCGTTAGTATTTGTTAGCAAAATCTTATGCTATATCTAACCTGTTAGGTCGTAGGTTGGCAGACAGCAGCGACCCAGGGAGGTACTACTGTCTTGTCAGATAAGTGTGAAATGCATGCCTGTTACATACTGATATCCTGTATTTCTTTGTCTCAAACATATAAGATGACAAGTAAATTTTGCAAACTTCTACTTACTAAATAATATAAATCTATATTTACCTTCTTTTGTGTTTCTTAATAGTTTCTATTTCTGTAATAGTTCTTTTCTACTTTATGAGGGCTGATTTAGGATAAGGCTGGGAGGAGAGGAGGAGCAGTGATGTTTGAAACTATTAACAGATATATTATAGATACTCGGTGGTTCAGTAACATCCTAATATAGAGTTGAGTAAGGACTCTTATATCCAAGTCCACTGGGATTGAGACCCCAGTGAATATAAGAACATGGAATTTTGATAGTAAGAAGGCAGTAAATGTTGACAGCATAAAAGAGAAAAGTACAAAAAGTATATTTACATAGGATACCTTTATTGAAGATGTTTCGGTTCTGGGACCTTGTATTTGAAGTGGTCAAGGTCTCAAGACTGAAATATATATAAATGTATACATAAATGTATATATAAATGGATAAACAATTTGTCATTAGAATTGCTGCTACTAACATATTTTCTTTTTATCTAGGAAAGTCTTCCCTTATATCTACATTACTGAGAATGTGTGAACTGGATTCTGGTAGCGTGACTATTGACGGTGTGGATATAAGTACGATTGGTCTACATACACTGCGTTGCTGCATTTCTGTTATTCCACAGGATCCAGTACTCTTTCAAGGATCAATCAGGTACACCGATTTATTATAATGGTACACAATAGTGATGAGTAGAAGAACAACTATGTTAGGTAAATGGACATGGATGCAACTAATGTGACATTTCATTGTGGCAATATTTTGCTCTTCAGGAGCTTTGTCATGCCATTGACAAAGCTCCTGGAGAGCAAAACTTTGCCACAATAATATGTCACGCTAATTGCATGTGTGTCCATTTACCTAACATTTCGTTGGTAATTTGACCAACATTACCAAGAGTAAATATATATTGCAGTAGGTGCTGTTTTGTAACAGTTTTTTTTTTTAAATACCTTGCACTGTACATAATGTGTTTCCCCATTGTATTAATTCAGTAATTAACCAGTTTCTTTAACATATTTTTTTTTTTTTTAACAAGTCGGCCATCTTCCACCGAGGCAGGGTGACCCAAAAAGAAAGAAAATCCCCCAAAAGAAAATACTTTCATCATCATTCATGGGGAAGTGGAACAGAATTCTTCCTCCGTAAGCCAAGCGTGTCGTAAGAGGCAACTAAAATGCCGGGAGCAAGGGGCTAGTAACCCCTTCTCCTGTATATATTACTTAATGTAAAAGGAGAAACTTTCGTTTTTCCTTTTGGGCCACCCCGCCTCGGTGGGATATGGCCGGTGTGTTGAAAGAAAGAAAGATCATTCAACACTTTCACCTCACTCACAGATATATGTGTACACTTATTTGAGCTGCCATCTCAATCAGTGAGACATGTACAGTAGGACCCCACTTATATGGAGGGTTAGGTTCCAGGCTGTCGCCGGAAAGCAGACTTCGCTGGAAGGCAGAATGCCATTTTTTCCATTTATAAATGTATATAAATGCCAGACAACAGGTTTACACTAAATTATATTAAATTAGTAATAGAACTAGGCATTAATTAAAAATACACAAAGTAAAATACATTCACAGTACATTCATTACTTAAAGTACACCTACCATCCGACTTACGACCTGCTCGACTTACGACCACTCGACTTACGACCGTGTTTTTTATGCCAAATTTCTGGGAAATAAACAACTATTTGTGTTGTACACAGTGTTTATCCTAAACCTTACAGTGTAAAATACAGTACTAACAACATAAAAAGTAAAGTAAACATGAAATACCAAAATAAAACAATAAAATAGTCATTACAAAAATGTTTTGTTGATATTCAGTAGTAAAGTTCAACTTACGACCATTTTGACTTACGAACGGTTTCTCGGAACCGAACTCGGTCGTAAGTCGGATGGTAGGTGTATTTGTAATCTTAGTGTAGGGAGAGAGGTGAGTAGTACTCATTTGTAGGAAGTCAGGTGTATGTAGCCCTGGCTCCCCGTCTCATACTTAATATACGATATTTAAAGCATCCCAGAGAGTTAAAATACACATACAGTACACTCACTGTTTACTTTAAAATATGTGTAATCTTAATATAGGAAGAGAGGTGAGTAGTATTTATTTGTAGGAAGTCAGTGTAGGTAGCCGGTAGGTGTAGCCCAGGCGGGCTACCTAGACCGTGGCCCAGAGCCATATTATTACCATCGACATACCTTGTTCACTGAATTTAATCGTTTCTAGCAATTACCTTTAGATGCCATCATAAACGAAGGGAGAAGTAATGAATAATTCATGCCGAAAATTGTCAACAAAAGCGGAGTGGGGGAGTGGCTGGGCCAAACGCAGATTCATACACGTTTTCTCTGATGGCTGAGCAGAGAAAACGTAATGTTGTCCCTCCGCCCGGCTACCACACAGGTCCACAAGTATTATTATCAGAGCACATAAAATATGAAATAAATGCCAGACAACAAGTTTACACTAACTTATATTAAGTTAGCAATAGAAATAGGCATTAAAAACACAATAATAGGTAAGATACACACAGAGTACACTTATTACTTACCTTAAAATATTAATATTAATGTGTGAGAGGTGAGTGGCAGGGTGTTTATTGAATAAAATCAGAATGGCACACCATCATCCTCTAACTTGGCACTTAAAGCAAGAGTCTTACGACTCCTCTTTTTATCACAGCTAAGCTTGGACGCCATCATCAATGAGAGCCAACTAGTTAACGAAAGAGTAAACGAGAGAGAGAACGAGATACAGAGTTCAGACAATGTAAGAACACAAACTGAACAGGTAGTGGGCAATCACTTGGTCAGGCGAAATAAATGCGCATTAATGTGTGTGTACTTTTAGTTCATTCACGTATGTTTGTAAGAGTTTGTAAAACATTTACCTCAATATTTTTTTTATTATAATAATAATTAGCTCACAATACAAATACTCTTACATTGTGTACAAGTTGTACAAGTTAGTACAGAATAAACAAACAGCAGCACACCATTTTAAGAGTGAATGAAGATAATATTATTATTATTATTATTGTTATTATTATCATAATAAAAAGCATTAAGCCCACAAGGGTCGTGAATTGCTATATATAGAGTGAAGGCATACGAAAAGAATATTTTTCTACAGTTACCCCCCAGTTTGACTAGAGAAAACGTAATTCTTCTGACACTATACACAGCCGCTTTGTAAAAAAATCTCATACTTACGTAAATTTTTATTCTGTGAGTGTATGTATCATGTTTATATGCTATGTAACGGGCTTCATATATAATTTTCAGGAAATTATCAGAGATGGATTAATGAAAATGCCTATATTAATGTAAAATAATTAATTTAATGTGCCCAAGAGTGATTATTATTATGTAGTACACCTAGCATCCGACTTACAACCTGCTCGACATACGTCTACTCGACTTACGACCGTGCATCTGGCAGCTGGGCTGGGCTGGCTGATGCACACCGCTGTACAATATTTGACAATATTCGTGGCGGCAATGCGTCATGCAGGCCGCATCAGTTTGAGTAACCATGTCCTATCAGCAGCATCATACTGTATTAACTGTACTAACTGGGCAGTAAATTTCACCATGGCCCCTAAGATGACATCTGAATCTTGCACTGGATATTGTGGCAAGAAAGGCTTACTCTCGAACTCTCTATTTGTTTTCATTGTTGCACATAAACCTGTCTGTATATGTCTACCTGTATATCTGTCTCTCTGTATCTCTGTGTGTCTGTTTATCTGTCTTTCTGTCTACCTGTGTGTCTGTCTTTCTGTCTACCTGTGTGTCTGTCTTTCTGTCTACCTGTGTGTCTACCCATGTGTCTGTCTACCTGTGTCTGTCTTTCTGTCTACCTATGTGTGTCTGTCTACCTGTGAGTCTGTCTTTCTGTCTACCCATGTGTGTCTTTCTGTCTACCTGTGTGTGTCTGCCTGTCTACCTGTATGTCTGTCTTTATGTCTACCTGTGTGTGTGTCTGTCTACCTGTGTGTGTCTTTCTGTGTGTCTTTCTGTCTACCTGTGTGTGTCTGTCTTTATGTCTACCTGTGTGTGTGTCTGTCTTTCTGTCTACCTGTGTGTCTGTTTTTCTGTCTACCTGTGTGTCTGACTTTCTGTCTACCTGTGTGTCTGTCTTTGTCTACCAGTGTCTGTCTTTCTGTCTGCTTGTCTGTCTCAGAGCTACTCATTAAGAGTGTAATTGGTCTTGAAGATGCCATATTAATAATGATAACACAATAATAATCACTGAGGTGCATTAAATGTGTATAAAACGTTAATATAGACATTTTGCTTAATCCATCTATGAATTTTTTTCAGAATTATATATTAAAAATGCAACATAACATATAAACATATAAATTAACAAATATGAGATTTTTTCTGGTCGGCGTGACAGAGTGAACAAAAACCATTGGTGTCCGGGTTGGCAACAACAACAACAACAACAACAACGTTTGTTTACATAACTCATGAACCTTCTACACTCTCATTCTCTCTCTCGTTTATTCATTTAATCTTGTTTACTCACCTCTCACAATACATTAAGACTACAGATATTTTAAGGTAAGTAATGAGTGGACACAATTATTATATTATAGTTTAATAATAATATTATTTATCTGTAGTAGGTTGGTAGACAGCAACCACCCAGGGAGGTACTACCGTCCTGCCAAGTGAGTGTAAAACGAAAGCCTGTGATTGTTATACATGATGGTAGGATTGCTGATGTCTTTTGTCTGTCTCATAAATATGCAAGATTACAGGTATGTCTTGCTACTTCTACTAACACTTAGGTCACACTACACATACATGTACACATTTATTTATACACACTCATCTGAGTTTTCTTTGATTTTATCTTAATAGTTCTTGGTCTTATTACTTTTCCTTTTATATCCATGGGGAAGTGGAATAAGAATCTTTCCTCCGTAAGCCATGCGTGTTGTAAAAGTCAACTAAAATGCCGGGAACAATGGGCTAGTAACCCCTTTTCCTGTAAAGATTACTAAAAAGAATAAGAACAAGAAAATTGTCAAAGTGGGAAGTCTGAATGTGCGTGGATGTTGTGCAGATGATAAGAAAGAGATGATTGTGGATGTTATAAATGAGAAGAAACTGGATGTCCTGGCTTTAAGTGAAACAAAGCTGAAGGGGGTGGGAGAGTTTCAGTGGAGAGGAATAAATGGGATTAGGTCAGGGGTTTCAAATAGAGTTAGAGCTAAAGAAGGAGTAACAATAATGTTGAACATTGAGACACTTATGCAGCATATGGGAATCTTTATTCAGGAAACGTTTCGCCACACAGTGGCTTCATCAGCCCAATACAAAGAGGAAGGCGTAAGGAGAGGAGGAGTATGAGGTAATCAGTCCCTCAGCCTGGAGTCGATGTGTTCAGTCCATCAATCTTGTAGAATGTACAGCATAGGGCCGTAGGTTCAGTCCTATGCTGTACATTCTACAAGATTGATGGACTGAACACATCGACTCCAGGCTGAGGGACTGATTACCTCATACTCCTCCTCTCCTTACGCCTTCCTCTTTGTATTGGACTGATGAAGCCACTGTGTGGCGAAATGTTTCCTGAATAAAGATTCCCATATGCTGAATAAGTGTCTCAATGTTCAACTTGTCGGTTTT